CACCTATCTATCTATCTATCTATCTATCTATCTATCTATAGAGGATGTGTTAACTTATTTTCAAATTTTCAAATAAAAACGTGTACTTTAACAGGATGTTCAAACTTTTGCACACAAGTGTATTCATCTATTTTTCTATTCAGTTTCTCATATTCATTGATGTCATCAACAATCATCATTTATGATGGATATAACTGTCATTATTCCCATCAATCTGCACTTTTTTTACTGATAAGGACAATATGAATTAATTAATTTGAGTGAATTTTTTGATTTTAAATTAACTCTCAAAAAAAACATCTTCCCTTTGTCACAATCGGTGATTAAGTGCGGTTTGATAGGTAAATATGGCAGTTATATCCATTCACAATTAATTCCACAACACAATAAAGTCTGCAAAATGTCAAGGGGTCTAAATATTTTCTGAATCCTCTGTATGCAGGCGTTATAGGCATAATGGGATTTTAGTTTTGATTCATGTGAAACTTCTGAATATGTACACCGTAAAACTGTCAAACTGCATTCCAGGACTGTGGCAACTGTTCACTACAAGGAAATTAGTCACAATAAAGAATTATTAGTCTGAGTCTGAGAATTATTACTCATTTTAGGCTTCATTAGAGGTTTCAGTTGGTATGACAGATTTCTTAGTGAACTGAATACAGAAGCCATAAACCTTAACAATACTTATTGTTTTAAGTCTGTATTGTTGGATTTACAGGTATAATGAATATATTGGGGCTTTAGTTTCGATTTATGTGAAATGTTCTTCTAAGTGTGTACACAGTAAAGTTATTAAACTATATTCCAGAGCTGAAGCCACGGCCCTGCACAGTTGTCTTTATTTATAAACTCATATATAGAAAGAGATTTGCATTCTCAGCCCCAGGATTCTAATAGCCATGAGAGTTAAAGAGTGAGGATATGATGTTTTGATATTTTTTGTGTGTCATTTCACAAAAGTGAAAAGTTTTTTTGTACTACTTTTTTTTTACAAAGCAAAACAAAACACAAGGTACAATAAAAACAAAACAAAAATGACTATAACACCATGGATGAAAAAACACCAAAAAAAAAGATACAAGACTGGACACACTGCATTGTCATTAGCGGTATTTAGCTATTGGTTATCTTAGCTGTAATCTCTATCACATGGGTTCTAAACTCCATTCCTGTGCTATATACCTTCCACCATAAAGTTTTGTGGACAAAACAAGACATATTCCAAGACATATTTTAATTAAATACTAGACTGCATAAACACAGATTGATGAATCATTCTCTTCTTAATCAATGCAGTCTTGATTAGGCTTTTTGTTCAATGAGTGAATTTCATGGAAGATAAATATGGCCTGTGTTATGATAATCCCTTAAGGCATTAGCATGGTAAATGACTCAAATCAAGTCCAATAACAGGCAGGGTCAGATATCAAATAAACCAAAATTGTCCAAAGTTGGTGGTGCTACTGACACTAACAGACCTTGACAATACTTTGAATTTTTGTCATGATTTACAGTTTCCTAGTAACAATTCTACAACTCCATTTCCAAAAACATTGAAATGCTGCGCAAAATGTAAATAAAAACAGAATGCAATGATTTACAAATCATTTAAACCCTAATTTAATTCAAAATAGTTCAAAGACAACGTATCAAATGTTGGAACTGAAATTTTACTGTTGGAACATATGCCCAACGTCAGTAACACAATTCAAAAAAGTTGGGACAGGGGCATGTTTACCACTGTGTTGCATCACCTATTCTTTTAACAAAAGTCTGCAAGTGTTTGGGAACTGAGGTGATATATAGCATTTGATGTAGTTTTAAAAATGAAATGTTTTTCTATTCTTGCTTGATAAAGGATTTCAGATGCTCAGTTATCCCCATTTAAGTTACTGATCTGTTGCCAATTAACCTAATTAGTTGTGAGTTTTCCTACTTGATGTGTGGCTTTAGGCCTTCCAGCTCCTTTCCTCCAGGCAGTACTGAATCAAAAATAGAATAATTGCAGGCTTATTCAATCATTCTCACCCTCTCTGAGTCAGTTTTAGATTAAAAGTCAGGAAACTGACTGACGGAGTTTTTTTATAGTGATTATGAGAAATCAACTTACATGGATGTCCAGAATGACAGACATGACTTTAGAGGGCTCTTTTAATGTTAAAATGGCGTTCATTTTAAAAACAAGTTAATCAGGAAGAAGGCATTAAATAACAGCATGTTACACTTGTCATGTCATGTGAGAAAGGAGTGGCAGCCTGAGCACTAATCTGAAGCAGGTGAAAAGATGAAAGATTTTTAGATTTTAAATAAAATCACCTCTTGTGTGGTGAAGCATTATTAGTTCTGCTCAGTAATCTTGTAAAAAAATGCTTTATATTGGGAAGCAAATCTTAATGCAGTTTATCTGTAACAGTGACAAAGTCTTCTCTCAGCTGTTGGTCTAGAAACAGCTACATCATAAATTCAAGAAAAAAATCTTCTTTATACAGGTTTTAAGACTTTTCTTTCTATCTTTCGTGACTTTCAATGTCTGTCCTTCTTACTTTAGGTGGCTTTTTGGATCCTTCGGTGCTAGCAGTACTGTATCAAAAAAATACTTTACAGACAGGCTCGCTTCTTCCTATTAAGAAATAATATATTTTGAATGTTGTGTCCCTCCTGCGTCACCCCCTCACTGGGTTTCGTGCTGGGCTGGCCATTTCGCTGCCTTTATTAAAGTGCCTGTAAATAAGAAAGGAGCATTTTGCCTGTATGCACACTGTTGTCTGCATCTTCTTCTGAGCCGATGCTACAATACATTTTTCCAATAACCCATTCACAATGTTTGTTTTTTGTATCATTTATGCGTGGCTTTTGAAGATTCTTCATGGTTTGAAGATTACAGGGAGCTCACTGGTAAATCCTTATTTCTCCATCAAATTTTCTGTTGGGTTTAAGTTTGGTGATTGACTGCCATTCCAAAACATTGCAGTATGTATGCAGTGCATTATATTTCAATATGTGTTAGATTAGTGTTCATTTACAGTTTTATAATGAGTTTACAACTCATACATTCCACTACTTTGTGAATCCAAGACTTTGGTAAACCCATTTTAAGTACCAACACAATTCATCCATATAAGTAAAGGTAAGTTTTCACAAGTGATCTTACAAATGTCTAAAACTAGTTCTCAGTTTAGGGCAGAATAATCTCTTTACACAGTGCTCCAGGTCAAAATGGCCTTATTAGAGAGATTTGAGATTGTTTAGAACATTTTGAAATGTGACATGTATCATGTCATATGCAAGGTCCTTTAAAGGCGCCACTTAAGAATATGTGCAAAAAGAAAAAAAAAATGTCCCCAGACTCGCTCATTAAGGTTAAGGGTTAGGTCTAGATTTTAAAATTTCAGATTGACTGAGGAGACCAACTGCTGGGGAACCAGGAAGCAACAGCGTGTAACCCTCTCTCTCGTCTCACGCTTCCACCTGGTTGTAATCCAGCTTTTATAGATCGAGCCCCCTGCTGGACTGGAGTTGTCATTTCACTGCAATATGTGAAAAAAGAAAGAAACAAAAAAATTACGAAGAACAAAACATCATGACCCCTAGGGTCGTAACATTTGAATACAAATATCTGATTGTTTGGCATGTTTAAAACTTCGGCAGGAAATTTAAATCAATGTTAGCGTCATAGCATCTGAAAATGGCTGAACAAAAACATATGAGGGGTGGGGATTTCTAGATTAAAAAACAACGAGAGAGTAAGTTGTTATCTGTTCAAAATTGCTGGTTAAAATGGTTGAAGGTTTGTGTTTTTTTAGATAAAAAAACTGTTGATGATGGGTTTCCAGATTAAAAAACTGTTGAGGTGGGGTTTCCAGGAAAAACGGTTGAGGGGTAGGATGGCAGGCCTTCCGGGCGGAAGGTCCAGGGTGGGACTTATAGCAAATGCCTGCTCTGATTGGTTGAGGGGTGGGGATCATGGTACATTTGGGGGCGTGGCATGTTCTGATTGGTCAAGGGGCGTGGCTTGGACCTGTCAAAATTTTGACATGCAACAAGTGCCTCATATTTTCTCTGTCCTACGGGTTACATAACAAAATGTAATCACTTACATGGCCAAAGTGAACTGTAGTCTGATTAAGCCTTTTTAAAAATATAAGCCTATTGCTGCCAGCCTTATTCAGTGAGAAAAAGAAAAGAGTGTAAATAACTATTTCTTAGCACATCATCCACCCCAGCCATTCAGACAGATTGACATGTCTCACAACTCTAGTATGTTGAGACTAAATCTTTCTACTTAGTAACAACAAGTACAACATATGTTGATTATGCTGTTGCTTTATTATTTTTATAATATACTGCAAGGCATATCATGCTCTATAAAGTGGCAGCATTGCAGCAGATTGCAACATTTCATATACAATATGTGCAAGTTTATTAGCACTAAGTATAAAGTAGATAAAGTATTATCTACTTTATACTTACCTTGAACCTACACTCATTAGCCTTTCACCATTTAGGTACACCTATACCAGGGGTCAGCAACCCAAATGTTAAGAGGAGCCATGTTGTCTTTCAACAAAAATCAAACCACCTTGGGAGCCACAATGTTTTATGTCCATTTTACCATCTTGGCTGTAAATATGTTTCAATATGTTCTACAAATAAACAACTACTTAAAATATAATATAAATGAAAATGCCAACTTACTTTGCTCTGCTTTAAACTTTAGCTCAGCTATAGCCACTTTTCTCACATCTCCAGCAGAAAACTTTTCTGCAAAAAGCAGAAGAGTTTCTTGTAAAATGTCTCTCAACATGCAACTTTTTATGAGGCTAAAGTCAGCTTATGATTCACCAGCTTCAATTTCCTCTTCCACCTTAAATAATGCCTGAGACACGAGAATGTAACTGCTGCAGGTGGAATGGGAAAATTGGAGTGAATTGAATGTGGTGGTGTGTTAGTGGAATTGAATGTGGTGGTGTGTTAGTGTGTGGTGCACTGGTATGAGTGGATCAGACAAGTGCAGTTATATGGTAAGTGGAGTTAATAAAATAGACAAACAGTGTAGATACATTGCACTTAATGAAATGTCCAGTTATTGTATGTTCATGATTGAACATATTAAATATTCATGAATATAGTTTTAACAAGTTTTAAAGTTTTAAGAACAAAATATGTGTCATTTTACTTTAGTGAATTAATAACAAACATAAATGAATCCAGCAGTTACTGTCAAATAAGTTCAAGGGACAAAAATGATAACTAAATTAATAACATTGAGTATTGTATTCCATGCAGAAATAAAAATGTTATTAATGAATGAACGGTGATTTATCATGTTTTGCCTTATTCATTGCTGTCTTCAACAGATGTGGAAATGATTGTTTCTCAGTTGATTTTTGTCTAACATGATTTTAGTTGTAGAAATTTTTTTATCTTAATTCTTTCACCCAGGACACTAGAGTCAACACCTGTTACTACATTACTTATAATTCATCATTGGTGAATATTATTTGTGGACTTGAGAGAGCTTGTTCACCTTTTCAGTTTCACCTCAGACATGATGTGTATGAACACAAAAGCAACCCAGAAAACTGTTCTGTAACAATAATTGTTTACCTCTTACGTATTTTACATAAAACACATCAAGTACAACTCTGGATCATGCTCTGATCATTTATTGCATTCGTAAAGTGTAAAACGAGGAAAACAAAAGCCTGAAGTTCTGTATGTAACCAATTTGAAGAAATGATAACATACATATCATAAGATTTGTTATGCCAGTTATAGAGAATTTATTGGACAAGCTACTAAAATTTATTCATAAGGATGAACATAGACACCTGATAAATGAATCCACGTTTGGAAAGATAACAATCAAAGAATTTTCAAAATGTGCATAGAATCAAAATGTGGTAAATATGTCACATCAATCAAACTCAACAAGTTATGGAAGCAAATAATTATTGATAGCAAAATTAATAAAACAGAATAGCAGTAGTACCCCACTGATTAAAATGAGATTAACTAAAAGTCGTTTTATATCTTTGCCCATAAAGTTTGCCTTCAGGTGGCTGCTGGAGAAGCGTCGGCATCTCTGGAATCTACACACCTGTAAATATAAAATGGGAAATTAGGTGCTACAGATCAAAAGTGGATGTGTATTTGAATCAAAATGAACACATAAGAACATGGTCAGAAACAGTAACCTTCACAACTGAGCCTGTATTTCTAGTAAATTGGGGGGGGGTATTCAGAGGTGCCCCTTCTCATGTGAGACAGTCCCAGTTTGAAAGCTAATGGTGATATAAATAGGAGCTGTTTGCTGGCAGTCTTCTACTGAGTGCTTTCATTTTTTGCATTGCAGCATTTTCACATGAAGGGATAAAAAAAAGTGATTAAAAAAGGACGGCACCAAAAAGACAGGAATGAGAAAAACACTTGAGGTGAATAATCCAAAATATAAATAGAAGTGGGTAGCAGGCTGAACTAACAGAAACTAAATTAGCTGGTATTAGTTTGCAGCATATTAACTGTTGTTATTATGCAATATTTTACTAAAGCTTTCTCCAGATTAGATATTCTGAAGTAAATGGTAAAGCCCCAGTAAAACCGCAGCCCAGACACTTCTCAGATTCAGCTTCATTTCTAAGTGGTAAGTGGTAAGAACTTTGTACTTTGTTTTGTTTGTTGTATGCCACGTATCCACATGGTACCTTTTAGTCCAAATAACTGCACATTGCTGTGGAGGTTGTACATCACACTAATCCAATTAATACATAGAAACTGTTATGTTATAAATATTTCAATATAATTTAGTTATCATATTAAACACACACACAAAAAAAACAAATACTTATCAGGTTAAAACCTAGAACTTTAGGGACTGTAAAAGCAAGCAGTACCAAAATACCATCTGCTAAGCATTTAAGGAAGATTATGTGTATGTGAGTTTTTTGTTTGTGTGTTTATTTTATTGAAGATAATAATGTATTTCCAGTCATGCTCGCATATGTAACCTAGTACAATATACTGCTTTTTTCTTCACTTTGATCTGCATTGTGCATCAAAGAAAATATTTTACATTATAAACGACTTTTATTTTCTCATTTAATTTAGCAACACAGCAACATCAGATGAATGATACTGCTGAGACAGAGCCAGGTGGGTTAGTTTTATTATTATATGTCACTCCTATTCCTATTCCCATTTGGCCCTTTGTTAATGTGCATAATGCATTACTGCTCCTTATTATAAAAGACAAATTAGATTCACAAAACTATCACCAAATACAATCACAACCTAAACTTCAAAGGTTCAAAGTCCTAATTTATGCTTTTGATGGATGGGATGAGATGGAATTTATGCTTCTGAACATTAAACCAATTTACTTAAACATAACTCAGCTTTCCACTGACAAAATCAAAAACAGTCCTTTGTTTCTTAAACACATTTACTCTGGCAGCCTGTGTTGACATTGCCCCTGTGTTTTATAAATCATGAGGAAATACAAAGGGAAGTGTATAAGTATTCACCTGTGCTTCAGGCATTCCAGACAAAAGGTCCCACAGAGATGGAGGCAGTGTCATGGATGTCTGCAGACCTGCCACCTCTGCGATGGTGTCCAGGGAAACAGCGCTGCAAAAACATAAGATAAATGAGAGTTGGTGAGGCTGCCATGGATTTAAGAAACACTCACTAGTCCTTAAAGTATTACTAGTGCAACATTTTGAATTTTCTAAATTAAATCCTGTTTATTTATTTATTTATGAATTACACAACACAATCAGCAAGATGAGCGCATGCCCATGTTGTGCATGTTTACTGGGACAGTAAACCATTTCTGCACAACAACTGTAAGGGGGGGGGGTGAGGCGGGGCTGTGGGGGATGGGCTGCGGGGGGGTTGGGGGGATCATCGTGCTTGCCATCACGAGCTTGGCAATATCTCTACAGCAACCAGGAAGCTTGCACATCACACACAACTGTCCAGCTCAGGTCAGTCATCAGCAGTGGTGGTGAAACCCCTGTGTGCACGACTGGGATTCGGGACAATGTTGCTGGCACGGTGGGTGGTGGTGAAAGAGGAAGGGCTGGCATTAGTGCTGCTGTTGCTGTCCCCACCCCAGCTATGCAGGACTTCACGCAGTGTGACCTGGTGGGACTTGGCTCGTAGGTCGCTGGGGACTAGCTGACTATTGAATTGGGGGCAATGTAGTGTCCTGCTACTGGCTGGCGCTGGCACCAAGAGACTCTGGAGGTGTGGCTAAACAGATGGCCACACGCAAAGGCTCATGGTATGTGCACGCCCTGCAACAAAGGGACTATTTGTGTTGTTATTGTCATGGTCTGTTGGTTCAAGGTGTGTGTTTAACGTGTTGTTTTATGTTGGGGAGAGTGGGTTTAGTTGGGAGTGTTCAGCTGGTGGTGACCTCCCCTGCGAGTGTCTGCATGTGCTTTGTCTGCTGGTGTGTTCAATAAAGAGCACTTCCTTCAGCAGAATCATGGTCACCCCTCTGTTTCTTCCTCTGCTGACGTCACAATATCCTCATTATAGTACTTTAATTTTCTGTTTTTTAAGGGCTATTTTACCATGGGCCTTATTTTCATGTGTTATGAGAGTAAGAATAATGCATATTTGAGATGCTTTAGTATTTCTGGAGCACTGGTTATAATCCAGCGAAAGTAATGCAGCTGTAAACAGGGGCAGAGTAACAGTGAAAACAAATACATCATATCAGATCAACCCTCATTTGCACTGGGAGTGCAATAATATTTTTGTAGACTGAGTCCTGTATAAAATGATCAACAAAATAAGGTTTGCTGTGTTTAGGGATGCACTGTATGTTCTGGGAAGACAATTTTGCAGAGAGATCTCCTAATTCTCTCCTAAATACTTGAATATTTTCGCTACCAATATGTTCCTTTTTTCTTGCCATGGGGATGAATATAATTTATAATATGACCATGACCACATTACTTTGCATTATCAATGTATTTCTCAAGCCTACTTGGTAAAACTTTATTTTGTAGATGATTAATAAACTCTTAACAGTGTATCAGTGTAAGTGAAAAACTCTCTACTCACTGCTGCTCTATCATTTATATGGTGTTGATATGTTACTGAGAGTCTGTTGAGTGTTTATTTCATCTAAAAAGGACCACTCAAAGTAAAGTGTCACTGCCTACTCTCTACTGAACACAGTAATGTGAGACTGGACGATAAAAGACGGCCAAACTCACCGCTGCACAGTTGTTGCTCTGCAGAAGACACAGGTGGACAGCACAGTGAATGAAAACTTTGCGGTAGTCATTAAAGGCAAACATCTTGAAGGAGAAACGGCCAGTTGTGGAGACACCATTCTGAAGAACTTCCACTGTGATATCTTTTGGGTTAGGGCATCTGAAAATATGTGATATTTTATGTTTACATCAAAAAATCTTGGACTGAGGTCTATAGGCAGGAAACTGAAAAAGCACAGTGCACATCTTTTGGTAGACTTATCAGTGTGTTGGCTGTCTTCTACTTTCTCTGTTTTTCCTTTTAATGTCCTTTTGAAAGTCAATGAAAGAAAAAGCTTTGTACCTATTATTGATGAGGTTCCAGCGGACAGCAAAGTTCTGGTCATTGACAGGAGTGGCCCAACATGAGTCTATGACTGTGGCAATCTGACGGCTGTCCACTCCCTGAACAATCACTGCAACGTAGATCCGCTGGTCCACTTCTATGTATGCACTACCGTTGTAAGGGTGGGAGAAGGCAGCATCCTGGAAGGGAGTCATCCTGACCTGATACAACCCCTGACCGTTTGGAAGGTTCTTGTGCACTATGCTGTGTATCAAACCATAGACTGGTTAGTTCATAGTATGAAAGTCGTGTGCAAATGTGCAATTTAATGTTCATATTTCTGAGCTTATTTTAGATCCTTTAAACTGAAGCTGTCTAACAGCTGGTTTTAGTGGGATTTTATTGAAGACTCAGGCAGTAGCACACCTCACCTCTGCAAGGGGTTTAATTCTGTGTCCATGGAAAGTGTCTGACTAAGCTGATAAACACAAGAGAAACGCAGCTCCAGATGTTTCTGTCTGTTAATCAGACCTCCTGCTGAATCTACCACCCCCTGGATGGAGTTCTCATAAATGAAGTGTGTCCCGTTGGCCTGTTGATGTATTTTATTTAATGATTAGTCAGAATCTAAATGTGTGAAAAAGAATTAATACCAATTTTATGGTAAAAGACTTTCAGTCAACTCTATAAATATTTAGGTGATCAAGTTATCGTTGTTTTAGCTGTTTACCACAGCATTGAATTAAAATTAAATTACCATTTAACAACCATTTTCATACATAATAAAACATAATAAAAAAAAAAAACTAACACAGTCATAAATGAAATTATGATATTTAGTACTTCGTTGCAAATCCTATGCAGTCCATTACTGCCTGAAGTGTGGAAACCATAAACATCAAAAGACACTGGATTTCCTCCCTGGAGATGCTGTGCCAGGCCTTTACTGCAGCTGTCTTCAGTTTTTCTTTTTTTTACCAGCATTTTACCTTCAGTGTTTTCTTCAGTAAGTAAAATAAATGCTTGACTGACTTGAGGTCAGCTGAGTGCCTTGGGCACGGCAGAAAGTTCCACTTTTTTTCCACGTGCTTTAAGAAAATCTTGAGCTGTTTTCACAGTATGCTTTGGATCATCGTCATCTGCACAATGAAGTACCATCCAGTGAGTTTTGAAGCATTTGGCTTAATCTGATCAGGTAATATGGCCTTATGTACTTCAGAATTAAGCCTGTTGCTTTTATAATCAGTTATTTATCAATGAACACAAAGGAACCAGTTCCACTGGCAGCCACATATGCCCACGCAATAACTCTACCTCCACCATGCTTGACAGATGAGATAGCATGGATCTTGGTCTCAGCTGTCCAGAAAATGTTGTTCCAGAACACTGCAGCTTCGTAACGCTTACCAATTGATTAAACCACACGTAAGATTTTTGCTATATCTCTGATGTTATTTTCAGCCTAACGATGGTTTGCATCACTGGCAGTAAATGCTACACTTAAAATCAGCTTTGGCCTTATTTCTGCTTACTTGTAACAGACATAATGAGGGAATAACATACAGTCAACCAATTACTTTTAGGTCCCTAAAAAAAGGGGGGGGGGTGACTATGTCAGAAAATGGTTGTAAGTCTTGATGTAAGTCTGCACTTTGAGCTCATAGTCATTATTTAAACTCAATTACAATTTGTTGTGGTAAACAGCTAAAATTAATATTTAGAGCACTAAAATCAGGTCTGAATAATTATGGACCTGACTTTAGATTTTGATTAGGGACTTGAATTATGTTTATGATTCTGGAATAGAAATAGCAGCTTAAAACTGACTTCAGCATGGATACTGTTTAGTGTACCGTGAGATTTGTGCCACAGATGTGGTCATCATTATCAAAGTGGAACACCAGTCTGCCGTTTTGGACTGTTCCTCTGCAGCTAGAGTCACTCAAGTGCAGGACGTTTGCAGGGAAACCAGCTTCAAAGAGCTGACAGCGGGACAGAGACATGGTCCCAGAGCTGCTCTGACAGGTTTCTCTGGAGTCTGGAACAAAAAGAAAGGAGAAGATGTGGGAATTTGTTTTAGTAAAGCAGTTGTAAAAAGCTATTTGGATATCTTGGCATGTTAAGGGGTTTCATAGACTTGTCTAGTAATTAAGTAATAAATCCACTAGTCGGTGCTCTAGGCAGAAGTCAACTAGGACATTGTTTAAAATGCAGTTGTGCAAAAAAACACTAGTGAATAGACAAGAGGAGAGCAGAGAAAACAGTTTTTGGTTAACACAGTAGTTTGTATGTGTTTGTGTTGGGGTGTGTGTGTGTGTGTGTGTGTGTGTGTGTGTGTGAAAATACTACATGAGATAAAACCAATTCAAGCAGTTAGCCAGAACCTCTAGTGCATGTTCACATGAAAAGTTTGCTTGTACCATAAGCCTCAAACTTTGGTCTTGGATGATCCTCATTACAGAAGCAGCCATAGATGCCGTCCTTCTCCCCGCACCACTCATCTGCAGTGCAGTTCAGCTCTGCACAGGGGTCCGCCCTCGCTAATGAGAAAGAAAGGTAACATTGCACAATAAATACTTATACAAGAATAAACTTTTTTAATCAATCCAATTTCTATTGTGCATTAAATCCCTATAAATTTGAATATGGGACAGGTCTATAAATATAGCGGACTTACCGCAATCTAGACCAGACCGCCAGTCTGAAATCTGGAGCCCCACCGTGGTGCAAGCAACCTCATAGGCCTCCAGAGCTGAACACAGCATATTATTGGCAGATGAATAAACACATAGGTCGTACACACAGGAATTGAAGTAAACTACGGGGTTGACATGGAAATGACAGAGCTGGAAGGGTCCACTGGTGTTAGTGATGATGCTACAGAGTTCAGAGTACTCCTGTCTAAAAGCGCAGTCATTCATGTCAAGTGTCCGGTCATTTGCTCCACACCTGGAAAGAAAACAAGACACAAGTAATGATTTGAGACAGTGAAAGAGTGCTGAATAGTACCTTTCACAGTTATTTTATTTAATAGTAGGCATGAAATCCATTAATTATGAACCAGACTGGACTTAGCATGAAAATGAGCATCTTAAGAAATGGTCAAGTAGTTACTGAGATGGAGGCAATGTTAAATAAATGGTTGTTCATTAAATTCTAATGGAAATGCGTTACTTTTGCTTTAGATAGATAAGTCATGCCCAGCACTCCTTAGTTTGTCTATTTTAATTTCATGCATATGGTATCTGTATTTTTAAAACTGTTAATATAACTCTTATCTACCCTGGAGAGCTGATATCTGATCTCCAGCTGTTGCCAAACACATTGTCATTGGGTGCAAGAGCTCCACTGGGCATAGCTTTGTCATCTGAAGGGTCTCCATTATTGTTGCCACACATTCCACAAACAGATCCCTGGAAGCTCGGGCCCAGTTTCACTGAAAGTGTGTAACGACCATCAAAGTAGACCATGAGCTCGCTTGATGCATTCACAACCACAAAATCTTGTTCCTGATGTACTTCTGCAAGGTGGCTGATTTGAAAAGCAGATGAGTCCATGTCAGTCCCATCAACCTGCAAAAAGAAGTGAAAAGACATTGAAAAAGAAGAATGAAAGGAAAGCTTAAACGCCCAACGTCTGATTCCCTACAAGCAGAATTACACAGTGGACAGACTAATACCTTCACTCTCTTGTTTTGTCCAATAGTAATCTGTGTCTGCTGTCCCCACTGAGTTAGCCACACATCCACTTTAGACGCAAAGGACACAGCCATGTTCCCACGATGCATGTTAGCTGCCACCACACGGAACTGTAAGCCATTGTCTGAGACATTCGAGCAGGTCTTAGAGATCTCATATGAACAGGTTCCCTGAAGAAAAAATCCACATTTCGAAGTAAATTATACAGGTCTTATGTGTGATGTCCACTAGGACTGGGATTTTTAAATTTTAGTGACATGTGACACACTTGAATCGTGTCCCCTTTATTTTTAGACCAGTGTTTTAGCTGTGTTTATTAAAACTGCCTATACTTACCTGAAAGGTGGTTACAGCTCCATCAAAGGAAAGGTAATGGGGATCACCCCAGACCATGCATGAGGACATTCTGCTGTAGCAGCCAAGCAGGCCATTCCTGACCTCACACTCCTGGTTGGGAGAGCAGGAGGCAGAGTAGCAGCGAAGGTCATTTGGAGCAAAGCACTCACAGCGTTGTGAACATCCTGGGGTCCAGAACTGCTCATCAATCTGCAAAACCACAACACATTAAGACATTATCAAGTGCAAGCAATAATAATGACTAAATAGTAATAATGAAAACAATAATAACAATGTCTAGGTGCTTCCAGACAAATTCACTTGTGACTGTGACTGTATGTCTCGATATAACTGACTGGAACTCACATGATAATAGAATCCATTGTACAAGCAGCCACATTGTTCCACTGGAACACAGCGTCCTCCACTCCTCACATAGCCCTCATTACAGAAACAGCCCTCTGAACACGTCCGCTCACATACAGCATCAATGCTGCTAGCACAGGTATGACCACAGTCTGTGCCACATAGCTCATAGTGGCTGTTCATGGGACAGTTAATTCCTGTGAAATTACATAACATAATTAATACCAATGTGTACTGTGGGTCTCTTTTTTCTAATCAACTGATAGAGGAACCAAATGGTAATGGTGGCCGTTGAGCTTGAGTCTCAAGAGAAACACTACAAAAATTGTATCTCTGTTCAGTTAAAAACAAAGACCTTAATGCTGTTGATCAGACAGCAAAAACACAGAGATGTAAGTGCAGGGTACTGTGGTCAGGAATAGGACGCCAACTTCAGCCTCACAATAAACTCACGTTGGATTTTTTATGTAGTAGTGAAAGTGAAGATGAAAAATTCTCTGATTCATGCATTTTAATGCTATTTAGTAAACTAAACAGTTCTGCCTTGCATATTAATATATTAATGTGGGACTAGGGATCCATTTCAGTCCCAGCTACACTCTGCAATCAGAGTTACACATCAAGTATGTACCTGTAAGTATAATAGTTATAGTTATAATAGTATAATAGTCACGCTTCCCTCTGATCCTGCTGTCTCTGCCTTCTAACCTCCGGACTCCATTAACCAGAATTCCACACCGGATCACATGACCTTCGATCTCCCTCACATGACTCTACACCGGTCTGCCTGACCTGACTATAGATTACCTACACCTGTTCCTTATTTCTTGTGTTTGTTAGTTTAGTACATAAGCCTGGGCTTTAGCTTAGGTTAGTTGCAAATAATTGCCTTTGTTTACAGAGCCTTACTGAGCCTTGCAGTCTGTTTGTTTGCGTTACTGTGTATGACCATTGCCTAGTTTCTTTTTCAACCTTGCTTTTGTCTTGCCCTTTCAATATTTTCTATATTCTGGGTTGACTCTTTTTCTGAATTTTGGACATTGCTTTTTGGACTTCCCACATGGTCACTGTTTTTGTGATCTGGCTTTTGACTTGGAATTGGCTGACTTTGTTAATAAATGCATTTTAATCAAGTGTGGTCTGCAAACATCTGAATTCTGTCTGAGCCTCACAATAGTCAGATGACTACCTAATACTAAATTTAATTTGAAAGAATACACCTGAGATCCAAAATCTCAGTTCCAAATGCATCACTCATTCTTCTTCCTCTCAACAAAATATTCCATGAAAAAAATGCAGATTTGTTTCCATTTTTCAGTAATTATATTGAACTTTTCACACTTTTGCTTATTCACTTACTGCAGGTTGTGTTCTCTCTCCAGGGGTAGATCCAGACATTGGCAGACTGGCAGGCACTCACATAGGTTTGGATGGAACGGCACAGCACATCATGCCTGTACCCAGAGAGGCATAAATCAAACACACAGTCATCAAAGTAGGCCTGGGGGTCCACAGTGGCATGACAGAAGCTCAAGGGACCCTGGCTGTCCCTGAGGATCTGACACTGGGCCCGTGCCTCAACTGGGTTTTGACATGGTGAACAAGAGTCTCCACATCCATCACTGCACAACGTATCATTCCCCACTTTCCAGTCAGCTCCAAACTCAAAGGCTGAAGGAGCCAGTGCACCCGAGCGCGTAAGGAAATCGTCACCCCTCTGGCCATTGAAGTTACCACACAAGCCGCATGTGGCTCCACTGTAATTAGCTGGGACAGTGATGCGCACGACCCAATTGCCATCGTAACTCACACTTAGGCCAAAGTCAGTTGTGATAAATGTGTTCTGTCCACTGGAGTAAATGGAAACACGTCCAGAATCAAGCAGGACAGGAAGATTCCTGGTCTCACCATCAATCTAATGGAAAGAAATTAAAATTATATAGTAGTATTTTTAATGTATATCTGTATTGGTATATATTTAATTTTTTAAAGACATTTCTTGTGCGAACACAATGCAACATCTTTTATCAAAGTATTTGCCTTAAATGTTCAATGAATGTGTTAAATATAGGGCATAAGTACATTTATCAGTAGAGATTAACTGCACCTTCCCCAAAAACCCATTTCAGCATGGCAAATAATATGGGAATAAGACACCTTCTTAAATCTAAGAAAAAATGGGGTAGTTTGTTGGTTTTTGCTATAGGTTTAATAAATCATGGTTTCTTTTATTTAAGCCACTGTGGTCTATTATTGTTATAAGGTTTTAATGCTTTGCTTTAAATGATCTTCAAAATCATGTAAACCTGTAAAAGAATTCTGTTGAAAGATGCACATACATGCAAAGCACAACTTTGTGTGTTTAACACTTGGTATTAGATACCACTTATTTTAATAAATTGTTTATTGAATTATATTGGTATAGTGGTCAGTGATTTACTAGATGGCTTATATTATGGAAATGTCTCTCCTGGTACTGATGAATTTGAATGTATATTTAGTGCTGACACATGATCCTATTGTATTTTAATCGATAGGCCTGTCTAACTTCAGAGAATTTTGCTTAGCACATATTATATGAAAACACAATGTTATCACTGTTTTGCTAATCATATGCACTTACATGTGCCAACATTAAAATATTTAGTGGCATAGCTACACAGGAAGACCTTAAAGCCTAGAAGCCTTAATTTCCTTTTCCTCAAGTTTGATAAAACATAAATACTGCTGCTGGGCCCAAGAGCTGTACATTTGAATATGTGGTTGCATTTTATCCTTTAACAGACCTGGATGTTTTTCTGTGCAAAAAGAAGCTACACTATAGAACACAGGCATAGCCCTAGATGCTAGATAATCATTAGTGTTCCATGTCCAATATCTTTAAGTGCTTTTTATCATTTAAGAAGCATTAAAAATGAGACACTCAGAAGATGCCGAGAAATTTGTTCATACTCTTCTTCATAACTTCTAGATTAGTCTGCTAAATATGCAACTGACGGACTGCCTTCTTGTCTCTTTAGAAAGGCTCCAATTAGTTCACTTGTGTTTGTGTACCTGAAAAGGAACATCTGAGTATATGACTTTGTTATTATTTAGTTGTCACTGGCTTTCTGTTAAGTTCTGCAATCAGGTGTTAATGACCTAGCTTTGGCTTATCTTGCTGATTTCTTGAAACTTATTTAAAACTCATCTGAGGCGGGATTACTGCAAATGTCTAGGATCACTAACAACTCGGTTGGTGGAAGATCCTTTTCTGATTCCTGCATGTGACATGTAAAGCCCTTACTGGCCTCACTCTGGCATAGGTAAATGATCGGCTGAAGCTTTATAGCTCATTCAATTTATTCAGCTGAGGCAGGCGTACTGCAAACATGTAGGATCACTCAAAGCTCAGTTGGTGAAGATTCTTTTCTAATGTAGCTCCTTAACTGCAGGGAATCATTCCATGGAATATAAGGAAAGAAAACATGATAGGTGTTCCTAAAAGCTGTTTAAAAACATCTTTGTGTAGGTTAGCATAAGCCTAGTATTTTGGGTCTTGTTTTCTTTTATTGTTTCTAATTGTACTTTTATTTAATTTAAACCATGGTATTTCCTTTTTCCAGTATTTTACTTATTGTTCTGTGTAAAAGCAATTGCAGTTTTTGTAACCAAAGACAAGTCTTTGATTAAAATACAAGCATTAAAAATGCAGTTAATCTCTTTATTTTTTAAAAGAATACAATTTAAGTGAACTTAAGTGAACTGGTCTTATAGATTTTATGAAATGATTCAATTTGATTAATCAATGCATCAATCAAACTACCTATATATTAACCCAGTGCACATTTCACTGCTCCCATCACACCTGATCCAAATAATCTGCTTATTAACAAGTTCTTTCATAGATGTAGTGGGTGTAATAGAACAGAACACTAAAATGTATGGGGCAGATGGAACTCTAGGACCAGGGCTTGGAAAACTGTGGATTAATTGATTACTAAATAATCTTTAGCTTGAAGGTCTTCAAGCAAACACTTTGCATGTACACTCTTTCAAGCAATTGAACAATGGAGCAGTTACTCATGGAACGCCTGGCGGCAGAAAAAGCCTTAGGTATTGTTGCTTACCTCAGCAGTACCCCGTGTGTTGCGCGTGACATGAACCATATACCCAGAAACATTGACATAAACCTCCACAGTGATTGAAACTGGGAGTCCTTGCCATGCTTCATTCCTTGCAACAACCTGGAAATATGGAAGCCCTTGAGTATCATTACATACAGTTGCCAGTAAATATCTGCAGGTGCCCTGGAAGTCAAATGTCCGTCCATCAAAAGAGGTGTAGTGGGGGTCTCCTGAAGCAGAGCAGGTAGCACGGGGTAGAGGGTGGCAGCCATATTCTCCCCCGACAATACGACAGGTTTCCTGCTCACTGCAAGATGATGGAGAACAGCGGACGAAACCTGTGGTCCCATCACAGGTACACAGGGACTGGCACTCTTCACCGTGCCAGAAACGTTCTCCACCCTGCCTGTAGCGCCCTTCATGGAGACAGCCGCACCCCATAGGGGGCACACAACGGTCTCCACTTAGAAGTAGCCCATCATCACATTGGCATCCTTCCTGGCAGTGTTGGGTGCACAAATAAGGAAATGAGAGACTGGGGCAGGCTGCAGGGCAGGAAGTACCACACAGCTCATAGTGGCTATTGGTTGGACAGGGGAACTCTTAAAAAGGAAAACAGAAAGTACCAGTTAGTTGATTGGTGTGTGTAAAATGTTATCTAGTAAAAAAAGCTTTGACCCTTTAAGTCATGCCATGATGCTCTTAATGAAAAAAAGAAAGTTAAAACTCACGACAGTTTGTTATATTTCTCCATTCTCGCACATCAATGCCATTTTGCTGGCAAAGCACAGCATAGCCTCGCAGTGCCTCACAAAAGGCCTCTTTTGCACCTCCTGAGTGTTCCAGGGAACTTGCACAATCTGCTACCCTTGCCCTGGGATCCAGGCTGCTGTGGCACTCAGCAAACGGTCCATAAGGTGAAGCCATGATGCTGCAGTGCTGCATGAACTGGCTGCTGTTCTGATAATATCCTCTTTGCCAATTGTCTGTTGATTCTTCACAGTACGCTGAGAGGGATCCATCTCGCCAGCTATTCCCAAATGCCTGTGAATCATTCAGCAAGACACCAACCGGGCTGAGGAACTCATCTTCTTGGTTGCCATTTAAATTCCCACACAGACCACCAAGTGTGCCATTGTAGTTGCTGGGTGCAGTGATTCTAATTAGGTGTGGCCAGTCAGCTCGCACAGTTACCCCAAAGGTGGTTTCCATGATTATACCCTTCACACTGCTGTGAAAGATACGGATGCGACCAGTGCCAACACTAAATGGTACAGCAACCGCCTGCCCATCCACCTGAATGATAAAAAATAAGTGGTCAAGAGATAAATATCTTTAGCACTTCTATTCAAATAACATTTTGAATCGTCCACTATTAGGTTTTGAAAGAGCTTACTGTTGCTGTTCCTCCCTCTCCCATTTCAATAGTGACCTGAGTTCCCTCTGCCTCAAACTTCAGCAATCTGGAAAAGCTCTGAGGCCCTCTGGGCTGTTTTTGGACTGTTACTGCAAAATTAGGAAGTGGGGACGGTCCCATCACCCTAGAGAGGGTAAGCCCACAGGCTCCTGGGTAGCTATATGTCAGACCATCAAAGGTGTGATATGAGCCTGGTCCTTCAACCCAACAGGTGGAATAGCTTAATGGTCTGCACCCTCTCACTCCATCATGGATTGCACACATCTCCTGTGGACCACACTGGTGATTTTGGCAGCTCATTACTCTGTTGTTGCATGTACACAGCCTCCCACAGTCATCGTCCAATACTACTGACTGACTGTTGGCATAGTAGAGTCCTTCAAATGAACAGCCACAGTTAGCTAGAGGAACACACTCTCCAGCACTTAGGACATATCCAGCATCACAGACACAGCTCTCCTGGCTTGGCAAGGGACAGTTTACAGGTGCAGAAGGGTTACTGCAGGTTGCAGGACAGCCTGTGCCCTGGGAATCAAAGTGACTGTGCTCAGGACACTGGATTTCTGAAAGAAAATGGTAGGAAAAATAGTGTTTTTTATGTTAAGATTATTAAGTCTTAATTAGTCATATTATTAAAAGAAACATATATGATGCCTACCACAGAATCCTTGTCTTCTCCAGTGGCCAATCTGAATGCCCTGCTGCTGACACTGAGCAGCATATACATTCAATGCCTGGCACAGGATTGGCTGGTAACCTCCTCCCACACAAAGATCATAGACACAATTCTCTATAAAGGTCTGGGGTGCCAACCTTGAGTGGCATGAAGCAAACGGTCCACTAAGATCTCTCATGATTCCACAGTAGTCTGAGTTACTGTACAGATTGCTCTGAGCAGTGGTACAAGCAGCACACATCAGACCTGAACACCCGCTATCCTGGCAGATAGCATCTGTGTCCCCCTGTGCTGTCCAAGAGTTTGCAAATTCCACATCTGAGCTCAAGATCTCTCCTGTAGGTGTACGGTAGTCATCTTCGGGGCGATGGTTGAAATTACCACACAGGCCACATGTGGCATTCTGATAGTCATAAGGCACACTGATGGTCACATAGGAATATGCATCATATGTAACAACTAAGCCAAAATCTGTACTGACAGCTACAGAAAAGCCAGACTGATAGACTTGAACGGAGCCATTGCGGAGGCTGAACGGTGTTGCTGTGAAGGTCCCATTCACCTGAACAGGCAATGAAAAATCAAAGTTAGAGAAAAGAAAACATAAAAAACAAGTTTGATTGAAGCAGTTCAGTGATGCTCACCTTGGCTTCATATTGATGATCTTTTACCAGTTCTAATACTACATCATAGACAAATATTCTGACCAAGCGTGTCCATGACACACGTGTGCTACCTCGATTCTCATTCTTTCCTTCAATACGATAGTACGGCAACCCGTCACCACAGGCCTGTACAGAAATATGATTTTAAATTTAGAGAGGAGGGAGACTAGACACCATTTTGAATATCTATTCATAAACTCCACACCAATAAAGGAAACATGACTGAAATCTGTACCTCAGACAGGACATAAGTGCATATCCCTTGAAAGTGAAAGATCTGGTTATCGAACGTGTAGTAGTGGGGGTCACCAGAAATGGTGCAGGTTTGGCGTTGAATATTTTGGCATCCATACTGGAAAGCAGCACGACGGCAGGCTTGAGAGAAGGTGCAGGGCTGTGAGCTGCACTGGAGACCTCTGCGGGTGCAGGTGCACCTCTCCAGGCAAGAGGCATCTGTCCAGAAAGAGGTACCCTGTGGGACGGGGTTGTCTATAAATAAATAAATAAATAAAAGTTTAGTTAGATTAATTTTAGTCTGAATTTGATGCTGATTTTCAAAAGCATGCAGAGTGGCTTACTGTTAAATTGGCATCTCTGTGAACCATGATCCACACGGAAGGCCCATCTGCCTGTGACATTGACATTGGTGCTGTATGTAAAGATACTGTAGTTGTACTGAAATGACCCAGGAATTGAGAAATAGTAGCTGGAGTCATCTGTGTCATAACCAGCCTAGAAAAAAAAGCCAATTTTGAAAATAAAATTAAATTAAATTTGCAAGTCACAGGTAGGTAAGATAGTGGACAGCTTTGCTCCAAATTAATGCTCACCTGCACAGCCCTGCCTGTTGGAGCAATTTCACCATAGTTCATCAGTATAAAAGACAGATGGCCATCTGAAATCAAAACTGCTTGAAAAGATGTTTCCTGAAAAATGTTTGCAGAAATAAGTGAGGCAGCACTAACATACACTTCTTATAGTATCTCCACAAATATTCTGATAAACATGAACACGAAAAACAGCAAAAAGTTGAAAATGCACATTACCACTATTAGGGCAATAGGTTTAAAGGAGATGTAAAGAATCTGCTGGGAAGAAGACTGTATGTTCACCCCACGCATAGTGAGGAGGTTCATATGGTCAACAAATCTCTGAGAATCACAGCTGATGAATCACAGACTTTAGTTAGGTCTTGGGATCAGCACATTTCTCAATTTACAATCAGACGCCACCTACACAACCACAAATTGTTTAGGAATAGTGACCAAAGCCTCAGCTCTCAAGGACATATAAAATCAAGCACCTAGACCGTAGTTTGACAGACATAACTGGAACTTTTAGTGGGGCCGTGTTCTATAGGCAGATGAGACCAAAATGGAGCCTTTTAGCAACAAACTCCAGAGGTGAGTTTGGCGTAGACATAAAGATAGCAAGGCAGAAAAGTACCCCATCCGCACTGTGAAGTATGATGGTCGATCTGTGATGTTGCAGAGCTGGTTTTCTTTCAAAGGCTCATGGGATGAATAATTTTTTTTTAATACATGGGATTATGGATTCATCAAGTACCAGCACATATTAACTCAAATCCTGACACCTCAAATCAAAAGCTTAAACTTTGCTGTGGTTAGATCTTTCAGTGGGGCAAAAAAAAAGGTTCACTGACTACAGAATCAAGGATTTGCCTTGGCAACCCCAGTCCACTGACTAAGAGAGATAGAGAGGTGAGTCTACAAGCATGAACCTAGGAATCTGAAAGATCTGGTTAGATTCTGTATGGAGGAATGGTCTCAGATCTGCCAAGAATTATGGCACACATAGATTTGAGAAAATGCTTATTTCAAGGTAAGATTTAGGTTTTTTTTTTTTTCTTTTAATCTTTGTAATTCAAATAAAGGTTAGATTTTTGTTAATATTCTGAAAGATCCAAAAAAAAAAAGCAATAAAGAAAGATGAGCCCGTTTTGGTCATGTTTACCATGGGTGCCAATATTTGTAGAGGGCTCTGTTTTGTATTGTATGTCCTATATCTTTTTGTCTTACAGATATCAAAGTTGTTGTTCTTGCAGTTTAGGGTATTGTAGCTGTCTTTCTTAGTGGTCAGTTGTAAGAAGATGAGTCTACAGTTTAATCACATGAGGAGAATGATCTCTTACCGTGCCCGACATAGAAAAGTAAGCTACTTTATCCCAAGTTGCAACAAAGACCCAAGTTGCATTGAATTGCAGCTGAGGGAAATACTGGTTTATGTCCTGGGTAGCCTGTCTGAGAACATTTCCAGAAGTGTATTGCTGATAAGAGATGACACCATTTCCACGATTATCAATGTCTGTCCAGAATGGAGCAATGAGGTCTCGTCCACCGTTAGCAGGAAACTGATAGGGGGTGTAGCTGTACCATGCTTGATCAAAGGTTAAGTCACCATTGTTGTTAACCTACAGAAAAAACAAATGTCACAACACATGACCCAACATCTTTTTCTACTGACATCATTACACATTTGACATTTATAAACCATAAAAAAATTACAAGTATGCAAAAATATATACACTGGGTTCATTTGGGTGGAACATTTGGGCACAGATTATTGTAGCTAGACATGTTAGATTTTTAGCCTGGACTTTTTTATGGCCACATCTGTTATAAGAATCATATTGTGAATAAATGGAAATATCTATAGATTGTTAAATTGTGTGTGGATTTTTTCACACTGTTGGGTATTTAAACACTTAGCCAGCTGGTTAAGAAATCAACAATCTTTCCCAAATGGAAGGAAAGAAATTAGTAAATTAAGATTGACTTACATATATTTGACTGTAGGTTTTTCCAAAGAATATAAATGGCTGCTCCAGAGAAATAGCAGATGAACCTCCATCATCTATCCGTCCATTTACTATGTCTCCAACACCAATTCCATAGGGATAGAAAGGACCTTAGACATAACAGATAAGGTAAGTAGCTAAATTGCAAGTTTCAAGACAAAAAGTTACTTTAATAATTTATCGCAGTATTTCCTAGTTTATTTAATTTATAGTGATATATGGAAGCACTAGTTTTAGTTGTGGTAATACAGTATATACTTCAGCAATTAAGTTTGCCTAAACTGCACTATATTGATTCAATATATAAATGAATGTATCTACAACCCCATTTCCAAACAAGTTGGGAAGCTGTGCAAAATGTAAATAAAAATAGAATGCAATGATGTGCAAATTTTTAAAGCTCAAAATGACTTTAAAGCACCTGCTTACATTACAGAGTGTCTGTCTGTTTATGTTCCAGCACGTAATCTAAGATCTGCAAATAGTGGCCTTCTACAAATACCCTCTGTAAAATACAGAAAACATGGAGAGACTCTTTCAGTTATTATGCTTCTAAACTGTGGAACTTTTATTAGACAGTCAAGTACAGTGCTCACTTTTAAGAAGCATCTAAAGACGTATTTCTTTAACTTTGCATTTAATTAAAACTATGTTTCCTGGTGTTTATCGTCTAATTTGATCTGTTTAATTTTCTTTTGATTCTAAATAAATACTCCTGATTTCTTGTATAACTATATTTTATCAGCTGTCTATAAAGCACTTTGAGCTGCCACCAGCATAAAAAGTGCTATATAAATAAAAATTATTATTTTAATTATTAATTATAAATCATTTAAACCCTATGTTTCATTGAAAATAGACAACATATCAAATGCTGAAACTGAGAAATTCTTTTGTTTTTTGAAAATTATTTGACAATTTTGAATTTGATGCCAACAACACATTCCAAAAAATTTGGAACGGGGCAACAAAAGGCTGGCAAAGTTGTAATGCTGAAAAAAACACCTGGTGGTTGATTGGCAACAGGTCAGTAACATGATTGAGTATAAAAAAGCATCCCAGAGAGGCTGAGTCTTTCAGAAGTAAAGATGAGGAGGGGTTCACCACTCTGTGAAAGACTGCACGATCAAATAGTGCAACAATTCAAGAATAACATTTCTCAACGTAAAATAACAAATAACTCTTGCTTTTCATCATCTACAGTACATGATAACATTAAAAGATTCAGAGAATCAGGAGAAATCTCTGTATGCAAGGGACAAGGCCAAAAACCAGTATTTGCTAGCCGTGATCTTTGGGCCCTCAGGTGGCACTGCATTAAAAACAGACATGATTCTGTAGTGGAAATCACTGCATGAGCTCAGGAACACTTCTGAAAAACACTGTCTATGAACACAGTTTGTCACTGCATCCAAAAATGCAAGTTAAAAGTCTAAAACACAAAGAAGAAACCAAATATAAACAGGATTTAGAAATTTTCTGGGCCGGAGCTGATTTAAAATGGACTGAGGGAAGTGGAGAAGTGTCCTGTGGTCCGAAAAATCAACACTTGAAATTCTTTTTAGAAATCATGGACACTGTGTCCTCCAGACTAAAGACCACTCAGCATGTTATCAGTGCACAGTTCAAAAGCCAGTATTCGTGATGGTATAGGTGTGCATTACTGCACATAGCATGGGTGACATGCACATCTGTGAAGGCACCATTAATGCTGAACGATATATACATGTTTTGGCAACATATGCTGGCATCCAGACAACGTCTTTTTTAGGGAAGGCTTTTATTATTTCAGCAAGACTATGCCAAACCACGTTCTGCACAAATTACAGCAGCATTGCTCCATATAAAAAGAGTCCAGGTGCTAAACTGGCATGGCTGCAGTCCAGACCTGTCACCACTGAAAACATTTAGCGTTATGAAATGAAAAATACGACAAAGGAGACCCCGAACTGTTGAGCAGCTGAAATCCTACATCAAACAAGTATGGGGAAACATTTCACTCAATGTGTTGTTGGCATCAAATTCAAAATGGGCATATATTTTTCAAAAAACAGTAAAATTTCTCAGTTTCAACATCTGATTTGTTGTCTTTGTAGTATTTTCCTTTAAAAGTATGGTTTACATGATTTGTATATCATTGCATTGTATTTTTATGTACATTCTGCACAGCATCCCAACTTTTTTGGAAATGGGGTTGTATTCTATTAAGTGGTCCTGAAGTTCTTACTAACTACTGTTGACTATTACTACATTTTAGAATGACTGTCCTCTTCATTATGTACATCTTCAAGCACTCCTATCATTCTCAGCACTGCACTGACATTGATGTGGTGGTGGCATGTCAGTGTGGTATGAGTGGATCAGAAACAGCAGTGCTGAGCTTTTAAACACCTCAGTGTCACTGAGAATAGCTGAGCATGACACTTTGAGGTGTGGTGAAATCTGCCTTGCCACGCTGCGAAAAAGTTCAGCAGATGTTAACTTTATGCAAATGAATCCAGCTGACGCACTGCATTTAGCCAATCAGGCAATAGTTGACTGTTCTATACAGAACCATAGGCAGTAAAGACTTGGAGAGAAGGCATATGATTAAAATAAAGTTTACATGGTTTGGAAAGGCAAAATTTAAACCACACTGAGCTACAGAAGCTATCTAATGTTAGCTTACTAGTGAGACTGAGCAAGCTAACTCTCCAGCTTGAGTGCATGAAAATTATAAAAGCATAAAAAAGAATATGTCTACAGTATTTTAGTGTTTTTGCAAGCTTCTCTGCAGCAGCAAACAGTATATCAGGTAGTTTACTGCTCCATAGGTTCAGTATGGTTCCTTCATTGCCATAAGAAACACCCACAGAGAGATCTGGTGCAGCAGATTGCGGCAAGAAAAACTACAAGTGTACACGCCCAGGGAAGTTCGCCTGGGTGGAATGAACATACATTGATGATGACTAAAACAAGGGAAAAGAAACACCCAATATGCAAATAGATGGAGCCAGGAGTCAAAGGGAAAGAGAGGTTTTACCCAATAAGACTATGTTAACTAAACAAACTGACACTGTATTTCATTGAAACAACAAAGCTTATATAGTCTCATTCAGTTATACACATTTGTTGAAGAACATTAATGAGAAAGAAATGATTAAAACCAACAGCAGTGCTATTGATTTTTTTTTAATATGGCAGTTCAAAGCTCCAAATGGCACCACAGTAAACTAAACTGCAATAAGTTGATTCAAATAAAAAATGCCATTTTAGCGCACAAAACCATCAAAAGAGTTAACTTAAAATACGCAACGTGGGATGTATTCAGTTTTATATACAACAGACTTTTTTTTGAGTTAAAGCAAAATGTGGGATTAATATATTAAATTAATATATTATATTATGTTGGTGGGCAACTATTTCAGTCCTCTTTCAGTACCTATTGTACAGCTTAGTTTGTTTTTTTCAATAATACTTATAAAAAGGTATCCAGGAGTCCAGAATGTTTTCTGGGGTTGTACCTGTAGTTGTATTTCTTTCTGGAGTAGTAATTTCAATGGTGGTGGTCTCTGAGGAAAAGAGAGAAGGTCTTTTAACATCACAATTGCAAGTTAACACATAGGTTACAAACTCAATCTGCAGAAGGACAGTGGGAGGTGGTGTAGTATAGATAGTGGAGGTACTAAAGTATATGTCTGACCTCAGTTCATTTGTCAAAACTATAGGAGTGTAAGTAAGAGTGTAGCATCCAGATAATTCTGTGTAACAGTATTAGGCATTTTAGAAAGCAATATGCAATGTCATTAGTCTGGGCAGGAAGCATTTCATTGCTCACTGTTTTTCATTTTTTTACATAAATGGAACAATTCAGCTGCCACGTATGATGTGTCAAAATTTCATTATGAATGGACGAATAAAAACAGCCCAGAATTATTTAGATTAAAATCTTGTTGCATTCACTTACATTGAAAGTTAAGAATGTTTTTCCTTCTCCTGTAAAGTTACCATTTCAGAGATATGACAGTTTATTCTAACAGTGATGGTTTATTTGTTAAAAACACTTATCAGTATATTCAAATCAGATTTTTTCTTTTTGCAAGGACAAAGAACAGACCTAATTCTAATAATATTTTTATTATTGTACTTATTTATTTTCCAGAAAAAGAAAACCAAGATCAAAAACACAGGGAGTCCTGGGGGGTCTCAGACCTCCTAATTAACCTCTTGGACCTCCCCATATCTCAAAATCAAACTTCTGGAGGGTCCCAGACAATTCTGGGAAAGGTCATTGTTTAGCCTGCTTCACCCACAATCGACAAGCTTCTGTCTTTGGTTTTCTTAACTTACTAGAGCAGCACTGGTCTACCTCAGGGTGGTGCTGTAGCTTTTGGTTCAGGCAGTTGGTCCTTCATAGCCTAGCAACTGTAACTGTAGTTACATCTGAACTGTTAGACACATCTGAAAAACTTTACATTATAGCATAGGATATTTGTAAATCTGAAAATATGCCCAATTTCTCAAGAGTTTTATGGAAATTAGCATTGTAATCAGGACTGCTAGAGTTGAGTCCGAGTAAAATATTAATATATAAAATATATAATAATAACATTCCGATCTGCTTTCAGGAGATGTTTAAATGTTGGAACCAATAAACATGAACAAACTAGTAATACTCAGTTAGATCCTCAACCAGCAGATTTATTTACAGCATATGTACAGCAATGGTTTTCAACCTGTGGGCTACGGCCCCCCAGTGGACTGTGTGATACTACAGTTTTTTTAATGCTTAAATTCATTGCAATACACATTTCACCAAAACATAATTTTAAATCTTATAAAATATTTTCAAAAATAAAACACTACATTTGTAATACAGGATTATGGGAACTATGGAAACAAGTCTGTGCTGTTTGCTTAAGGGGTCTTTTCAAATGAAGCTTTGAATCCCAACAATTTACACTGTCACCTGGAGACCAAACATAGTGAATGTATATCTAAACCTGTTGATTTGAGCCAGAACTACGTTTGCAAGTTTGTACTCTTCAGCCTGACATCTTGCACTCTGTAGCTGCCAAATCAGCCTTCTCATTAGATGAGTCATAAAAAGATGATCTGATCGGTTAAACCCACAGAAGTTTTTGTGGTCGCTTGTGTGGGACATGGGTTGCAAAAGTTAGGAAACCCCTGATACAGAGAGAGGATTTTTTTTCTATTTATTCTGGTTGTGTTGATATTCTATAATAAATCAGCTTCCGGTTACCTCAGATGGAGGCATCACACTCTCACGAACAATTTCAAAGTCAACATTACCACGAGACTGAGACAAGACTGAAAGCACTAGTTTGTGACAAGTGGAAAGTGTGAACTGTTGCTCATGTCTCAAACCAAAGACAAAAGAGACAAAAGAGGAGATGTGTAAAATCTCAATTAATGTGTGGAAGACAGTATTACGAAACTAGAAAAGAGCATTTCTAAAAGAAAAATTGTTAAACCAGACATTTTATTGCCATCAAAGCTAGCTTCAGCACCACTATAGCAGGTGAATTAGCAGCCAGCAACTCTGGAGTAGCCAGCCAACATGGGATCGCTCAAATACCAGACAGCATTTCATACACTTCTCCCTCCGTCTGGCAATTTAAACTTTTTAATAATCTTACAACTGACTTGATGATTAACCAAAGTCCAATTAAAAAATAAATAAATAAAAAGCACCTATACTAAGTCAGACAACTACTATTAAAAAAAAAAAGAATCACTGTCTGTGACTCTTCACATCTCCTCTGGGAGATCATGTGACTCCTGACCTTCCACCCTGCTCCAATCACTGTTCAGCCTCTCCTGAATACAAATCAGTTTCACCTGTTCGTGTCTTTGTTTGCCTAGTTAGAGTAGTATAAAGCCCAGGCTTTTAGTTTAGTTCTTTGCAAGGTGTTGCATTCTTTCCAGAGCTGCTGAGTGTTATCATTGGTATTGTTGTTTCTGGATGTGACTACTTTTCTGTATTCTTGGACCTTTCCCTTTTTGCCTTTGCCCTCTGGACTCTGTTTGCCGATTGTTATGTTTGTTTGGTTGTACTTTCTGTCTCTGTTGGATTTGACTTTTGCCTGTTACCTGACTACGATTTTGGATCACAATTTCACAAGTAAAGCCTTTTTCCCTTTTTTTCTGAATCATTCTGGCACGTTACAGTGAGAGAGTGTGTAAGAATGTGTGTGTGTGGTTCAGAGGGAAATGACTGCAATAAGGTGTGTGTGTGTGTGTGTGTGTGTGTGCGCGCATGATTTGTGCTTTTGAAGTCTTAAGGGGAAATAAATGTCAACAAAAACTTGAGTATTCATGCTTACCTGTGGTAGTGGGTATCTGCACTGTACTAGTTAGAGGTATAGTTTCAGTGGTAGTGATCTCTGAAAAAAAAAAAAGTCTGTCTTACACATATTAGGTAGTTACACTTACATCAGTTTATTTTAAAGACAAACTAATTTCTTTTTTTCCTGAATTATTTTTTTACTTGCTTTTGCCATGAAGGTGTGAGAACAATGTGGATGCTAAAAGGCTAGCCTGCTACATTAGCTTGTTTTAAAAAGTAAAAATTAAAATCAAACTTTCAAAAATTAATGAATTATGTTTCAGAAACTACAGACAAGATGCATCAAAATGTTGTAGTACTTTTTAGACAAAATTTGGTTAAATATATTTTATTTTATTCTTTAACTTTTCTGCAAAACAGAGTCCTTTTATTTATTTACCAAAAAGTACTTGGAAAAACTTTAATCAATTCAAAAAGTAATAGGAGGTGAGGAATGTGAATAGTTTACCTGTAGTGGTTGGCTCAGTTGTGACCATATTTAGTGTGTTGTCTGATGCAGTAAGATGACTAACATCTGTAATGCAACATTTTTATTTAATTATTATTTTATTTAAGTTAATATTAAATAAAAAAGAATCTTGTAAGATAATACTAAATTCAAAAGAAAAAATGACAAAATAATGGCAATAATAAAACATGCTAAAAATGTTATAACCATATCTACCTGCACAGTAGGCTAAAGAACAGGTGACTGGACTGACAAACTCATATACATAATAATTTCCTGGACAAGCTTTCACTTGAATGGGGTAAGACTTGAAATAACAGCAGTCATTGTTCCAGCTTCCACAGACTCGCCGAGTGACCACTCCATCTTCCAGTCGTGGATGAGGATCATTGAGCCAGAGAGGGGCATCAGTGCCACACATGCCCTGGTTGACACATGACTCTGGCATCCGGATGTTATTGCCCTGATAGAGAAGCCGATACCAACCGTTCCAAATGGTGTAACTGTCGCACCATGACCACCACCACCACCAGTAATTGGGATAGATATTCCGGTTTGAATTGTTTGTGGCTCTAAAGGGCTGGTCCAGCACATTGTAGTTATTGCAGGGGTCAGTGCTTGGGTAAGTTAGGCCCACTGTCATGGAAACATGAAATAGTGTTGTTGGAAAATTCAGTTGCTGTAAAAAGTGTTTGTGTAGTATAAACTAAAATGGTTGTTTAGTTTTCAAATTATGAGAAAAAAGGAAACATTCAAATTTTTTATATTGGTATTGGATAGTTTGATATTGATCTTGAGGAGTTCTAAGCATGATCATATACTAATACTAGCAGAACATATTTAATAATTCAGTTAATATACTGACAGTCATTACTGACAATAGTTACACTGCTGTACAAAGCTACAGTGTCTGTACAAAGATTTGCTTCACTGACCCAATGGGCAAGGAAAATGCATTTTTTAGAGGTTCATGAGAAATAAATTACATCTGATACTACAGCTATTAAAGATGAGAGTTTTAAATACTATTGTGTTTCAAGAATTATTGACCTTAGGCACATTGTTACAATTACCTACATCAGTGATTCACAACCCAGAACTCAGGACACCACAGACAACACAAATTTTTCCTACCAGCCAACTTGCAACAGATAGGGATGAAGGACTATTTAGGGGGTCCTATGGACTGGGTTGGGAACCACTGATCATGCAAAAATATGTTTGGTTTTTTTTATTGATGCATACACTCCTGAGTGAAAATAATGGCCAAAATACACATTTCCCAAAATATATAATGTTTTTTACTGATGGTTTTGGCCTAGTCAGAGTCCAGATTTAAACCCTATAGATAATGTTTGGTCTCATATTAAACACAGCTTGGCGTTGTTTTTCAACTGCTTGAAGTCATCAGTGCTGAGTGGAAAAATGCTGACTCTTCTTTCTGTAAAAGTTTATCAGTAAATTTAACACAAAACTTTAACATTTCAAGAAATAAAAGAGAATAGCTGTCCCATTTTAAGTTACTTTGTTTAATAATTTGTTGTTAAAACTGTTAAAAGCTTAATGTTTTGCCATTTTGGGCTTGGCCCAATTTTTTTGGGCTTAGTGTATGTGTTGGCAATTGTTGCCCCCCCTAGAATTTCTTATGAGTGAAATCTAACTGAAATACTGAGAACATTTAGTTGGTCAGCAATCATAATTACACTTCTCAAACTGCAAAGGGAATACTTAATACTTTCTAGAAAAGGTAATCCCAAAACTTAGTACTTACTAATTATCTCACTACATTAGCAGACCATTTTGATTGTAATTGAAAAAAAAAAAGCTAAACAGTTAAAAATCTTCCCTATCAGGCCAATAATTAAGAAGCAACTGGATATGCAAAAAATCTGCTGGAAAGAGGGCATATGTCTATTTTACCCTCATGGAGAGTGAGGAGGACAATTTGAGTGGCCAAACATTTGCCAAGGATCACAGCTAGGAATTACAGACATTAGTTTTGGGGTCAAGAACATCTCCCAAACTACCAAAGGATCTGGACAGATTCTGTATGGAGAAATGGTCTCAGATCCCTTGCTGTGTATTCTCCAGTCTCAAGCATTGTAGAAGAAGACTCAGAGCTTTTATCTTTGCTAAGGGAGACATGGTGTGCCAACAATTGTGACACACATAGACATAAAATGTTTAACTTCATAATATAATTTAGATTTTTTTTTCAATCTTTGTGCTTCAAATAAAAGATAGATTTTTGTTAATCATCTGAATGAAAGACCAAAAGAATAAGCAATAAACAATGTTTTTACCAATGAAATGCACAAACCATGCACAAAAAAAAATGTGTTTTGCTACCTGTACAGTATGTTGGCATTGGAATCGATACATCTGGCTTGACGAGTTTGTAGACATAGTAATGTCCTGGACAAGCCTTCACTTGGATTGGGTTGGATCTGTTGGCTGTGTTACAGTCGCTACCAGAGAATGCTTGAATGTTTCTTGTAACAATGCCATCATCCTCCTGTGGATGAGAGCCATCAAGCACAAGTGGAGTGTAACCACCACATGTCTTGTAGCTCACACACCCCACAGAAATCTGAGCATTTCTTCCCTGTAGATACAGTCGATACCAGCCGTTCCATTCAACAACTGTGTCATCATGACCACTGTAGCCATTGTAAATGCTCCTCCAGTCATCATTAAGAACAGAGTAGTTGTAACAGGGGTCAAAGTTATACTCAATTGGTGTGGTTGCTGTGGAAATAATCACAATTGAAAATTCTTATTTCTATTTGGGAGTATTTATTGCCACAAACTCTAAACAGCTCTAAAATTGAAATCCTACTCATCGTCATGTTCAATCCAGTGTCTGCAGTTGTAGTTATAGGAGCAGAGGTCGGGGTTATGGTGCTGGCATCTGAAGAGACACAATTTAAATCCAACTTCATAAGATGATGACATTGTAATAATCTTAAACAAGAATGCAAACAAAGCAAACACATGGTGTACCTGTACAGTAAGCTGTAGCAGAGTAGTAGTAGTTGTAGTAGTAGTAGTAGTAGTAGTAGTAATAGTAGTAATAGTAGTTGACGTTTGGACTCTTAAATTCGTAGACATAGTAGTTGCCAGGACATGCTTTTACTTGTATTGCAAAAAAGCTGAATTGACAACAGTCTTGTCCTGAGTTTCCACAGACCTGGCGAGCAACCACTCCATCCTCTATATCAGGATGAGGGCCATTGAGCCACAGAGGGTAATAAGTACCACATCTAGATGTAGAAACACAGCTCTCTGCCATACGGATGTCCATCCCATGATAGAACAGCCGGTACCAGCCGTTCCAGTTAAAATAGCTGTCATATATATACAATCCAGTTGCATTATTGGCTCTCCAGGGTTGATCTAGAGATATGTAGTTATTGCAGGGATCGTAACTGGTGCGGTAAACAACTGTAATAGAAAATGAAGGTGAAACGTTATTTAATATTTTATTTAAAAAGAAAACAGATTAGTTTAATCTGAAACATCTTTCTGAATTAGGTTAATGCATGTCACAAATAAAACTATAAAAAATGAAAGATATACCTGCACAGTATGTAGGCATAGGGACTGATAGAGCTGGCCTGACAAGTTTGTAGACATAATAATGTCCTGGGCAGGCTTTGATCTGGATTGGGTTGGATCTGTAATATCTACACTGGCTGCTAAAGGGTCCATAGATTTCTTGGGTGACAATGCCGTCCTGTAGCCGTGGATGAGAGCCATTAAGCAGAAGTGGTGTGTAACCACCACAAGACATGTAGCTCACACACCACTCGGGAAGCTGAGCACTTTCACCGTCAAGATACAGCCGATACCAGCCGTTCCATTCAACAAGAGTGTCATCATGACTGTTGTAACCCAAGTGACTGTATGCGCTTCTCCATGAGTCACTAAGGACAGTGTAATTTTCACAAGGGTCAAAATCGTATCCTGTTGGAGAGTTAGCTGTGGGAACAATACAAAAAAAGCAGTTACAAATAAGCAGTTTTTCACAAGTAGCCTCTACTGCAAAATTGAAAACCATTAGGATCACTGAAAGAAGAAATGGTGTGGCTTTCATTGTCAAAAAGACTGTTCTTGGATATAGTGCTGTGAACTCATGTCAATCTGATTTTGTGCACAATAACTATATATTACCGTTATCCAGATTTAAGCCGCAACAATGGACACAGTCTATGAGGAAATTGGAATGTTTAGAATGTTCTATGATCAACCTCAAGGAGTGAAATTATAGGTATACTGCTGGTGATTGTAGATTGGAATGAGAAGGGTAGAAATGAGAAGGAGGGAAATACATTTGGACATCATGGCATCATGACCATTGTCACAGAGACAGGTGGTAGAGCTCCATTGTAATTAGAAAGGCATGGACCGAAGCAGATTGTAGAGCAGATCAAACTTCTAATGTGCAAGCTTCAAGTGAAGGTGAGAAAAAAATGATTAAACCATCAAGCCCTCCAAGATATAACCTGAAGAACACACAGAAACCACTTTTAAACGTTGGACATAACTGACACTGAACCAGAGAAGCAATGGATGGAGCTAAGAGGTAATCAAAGAAGAATCAGGGAACCTGGGATGAATGAAAAAGAGGAAGAAATCAATGAAAAAGAGGAAGAAAGTGGATGACTAATGATACAAGGAGATCACAAAAAAGAGAAGAGAAACAAAATTCCAGAGGGACAAAGGTTTTTGAACCCTTTAAAATCCCATAGGATGTATTTTACATACTAAGGTTTATATAGAAATGTGTTAGAAACCTGGGTCTGCTAATGGGCCCTGGCTATTTAAAGGGTTAAGACACCTAAGCTATGAATTCCAGAGAGCTGCCGGGAAGGACAAGGATCAATACTACAACAACATCTATAAGGATATTGAAAAGGGGAAGAAACATGGAAAATCAAGGATATCATGAAGATACAGGAGATCAAAATAAATTTCAGCCATGAGTTAAACATCTAAGAGATCTCAACAGACAAATCATAATACATGAAATAAGAATTATAAAAAAATATGCAGATGACTTCTATAGAAAGATACCAATTGCTAAGACATTTTAGTGCTACAGTAACATCAGCATGGTGCTAAGATCATTGCCAAAAAACCCTCAGAAATCAATAACATTGCAACAAAAATTACATATATATGGAAATTTTTCTGGAATAAGCAGTTAACACACTGGAGTGCATACTGAGCTTTCAAAATTCAGAAGGGTCTATTTATCTCTTTCTTTTTAGACATTATTGGTCACCTTCAGATACAATCACTTGCCAAGAATTTTCTTTTTTTGCATGATATATACTGTTGGAAGTAGGCTTTACACATACAGTAACATTATATTATGATTAATACCACCTACAGAATTATAGAATGTCTGCTGGTGTTCATTTCAAAAATGTTATTTTTGTAATTGCTACAAATGTACATACGGCATTTTGGAATTAAACTCTTCAATTCTAGACTGGCTTCTTTGATTATTTTTTTTCTTAATTCTGTTCACCATGCAATAGCTTGTTTTGTATTACATTACTGATTTTGTTCCACAAAACTTAAGATTGCCTTCTCGGTTTTCCCTTTATGTAAACTGTCTGTATAAATTCAACACAATACAAACAACACCTACTTGTGCTCAAGCTGAATTCAGTAGATGCTATAGTTGTTGGGGACGTGGTCAGTGTTATGCTGCTGGCATCTAAAAAAAAAACAAACAAAAAAAAAACCTTTAGTTTTAAAGGAATGTGCTGATATAAAATTGGTCACAAAAACCTTGATAAATATGAAGAAATCTGAGCTCAGCTCAGCTTTGTGAAAACGAATAACTGAAAGAAATGTAAACAGTCACAACAAAAAATCTAAGAAAATGAAAAACTGTTACCTGTACAGTAGGCCATGTTGCAGTAGTCTGGACGAACAAGCTCATAGACATAGTAGTTGCCTGGGCATGCTTTGACTTGAATTGTGGTAGACCTGATGTTATAGCAGTTATATCCAGAATTCCCACAGACCTGACGAGTGACCACTCCATCCTCTATCCGAGGATGAGGACCGTTGAGCCACAGAGTGTAATAAGTGCCACATCTGTATGCAGGAACGCAGCTCTCTGGCATACGGATGTCCATCCCATAATAGAACAGCCGGTACCAGCCGTTCCAGTTGAAGTAGATGTCACAAATATCCATCCCAGTCCCATTAGTGGCTCTCCAAGGTTGATCCAGTGGAGTGTAGTTATTACATGGGTCATAATTGGGATGGTTAACAGTAACTGTCATGATAAATAGCAAACTTTTAGTGTAAATTGTGAAATCTGATTTTTTTTTTTTTTTTAATAGTCTCTTTTACAAAATGGTTAGATTATAGTTTTTGCTTTATGCTAAGTATGAAATCACTGATAAAGATACTCTACCTGCACAGTAAGAAGGCATCGGGATTGCTACATCTGGCTTGACAAGTTTATAGACATAGTAATTTCCTGGACAGGCTTTCACTTGGATTGGTTTGGATCCATAGGCCGTGCATTGGCTACCACTGGATCCATAGACTTCTCGAGTGACAATTCCTTCCTCTGGCTTTGGATGAGAACCACCGAGCGAAAGTGGTGTGTGACCACCACATGTCATGTAGCTCATACACCACTCAGACATCTGAGCGCTTACTCCCTGAAGGTACAGCCGATACCAGCCATTCCATTCAACAAGAGTGTCATCATGACCCTTGTAAAAGCTCCTGATGGTTCTCCAGTATTCATCGAGGGCACGGTAGTTGTCACAGGGGTCAAATGTGGAGTTGTTTGTAGTTGTTGCTGTGAAAGTAGAAGCATTTTTGGTTTTCATTATATTTGCTAACACTGAGTACAGTTATCCACAAACATGGCATTAGCTTGCACTGATACACTGAGGACACTATATGTTTAACTTTTTTTTCTCATAATTCACATATAACACTTCAAATGCTTTATGTATAATCCTCTAAGCAAACCAAACTTATGTACAGTACATGAATAAATGAACTGAGAATTTGTGGAAACTATATAAAAACTATTTTTCCAGAGAACACAAAATGACTGTTCTTTCATATGGTAAAAAAAGAACTAAAGTCAAAGTAAAATTAAAAGAAACAATAGTAAAGGCAATTCTTAAGAAGCATTTCAGGTAGTTTTTTTTGTTTGTTTGTTTCTCAGAACTGGATTTTTTTGTTGACAGATTATTTTGAAGTTGTTGTTTTTTTTTCATAGAGGCACCTGTGCTTAACATTTCCTCTTTTGACCAGCATCACATGCTCTTAACACATGACAGACGTCATTTTTAAACTCAAAATGGCTCAAAAAACCGTATGGTTCTTGATTCAAGGATCTTAATATGGAAGAGCTTTTCCTTTTGATTTCTTTAAATGTTGATGTTTTGTGTGTACATTTGCAGATTACCTTTTATAGAAATCCATTTTTTTCTACTCAGTATTGATGGCTTGGCCCATGCCCAGGATTGTATATAACATCAAAAATCTGTGAATGCAAGTGAATTTATTCAGTTTCTGACCTAATATTTAGGGCTGTTATCTATGTTCAGATGAGCTGCCATCAGTTAAGAAAGCCACACTGGTTGATAAAAAAAACATTTTTTTTAGCTTTGCAACAGACTTTTTTCAAGTACTTATTTCAGTGCGCAAATAAACAATTATATAAAGTAATTTAATATGGGAAGGCTTTTCTCTGTGATTTCTTAAATGTTGAAGTTTTGTTTGTAAATTTTCAGACAACCTTTTACAGAAAGTCAGTATTTTTCCACTCAGCACTGATGGCTGCAAACAGTTAAAAAAAAAAATCTCTAAGCTAGTTTGTGTTCAATGTGAGATCAAATGTTCTCTAAAAAATGTTTATATCTGAACTCTCATCAAGCCAAAACCATCAGTAAAAAACATTTTATTTTGGGCTTGGTCCTTTTTTTTCTTGCCCAGGAGTGCATAACTGCAGCTTGATTACTTGTATCCAGAAAAGATTTCTCAGTTTGTATTGATAAGCTTCATATTTTATCCTATTTGATATATTCTAAAGAGACTAAAACAATCATGGCCTACACAGAAACCTACTCATAGTTGTGTTTGATCGTACACCACTGGCTTCAGTTGGTGGGGCAGGGGTTGGAGTTATGGTGCTGGCATCTGAGAAGAAAAAAAAGTGTTCATGACAATGTGACAAAATAACAAAAAAAAATATGTACAGTAGGATATAAAATATTTATTTCAGTACATTAAAAGTTGTACCTGTACAGTAAGCCGCATTACAAATGGTTGGACTGACAAATTCATACACATGATAGTCTCCCGGGCATGCTTTAACACGAATTGGGGTGGACTTGATGTAGCAGCAGTCATTTCCTGCATTGGCGCAAACCTGGCGAGTGACCACTCCATCCTCTATTTGAGGATGAGGACCATTGAGCCACAGACTGTAATAAGTACCACATCTGTTTACATCAACACAGCTTTCTGGCATACGGACATTCATCCCATAATAGAACAGCCGGTACCAGCCGTTCCAGTTGAAGTAACTGTCACAGATGTCTGATCCAGTCTCATTGTTGGCTCTCCAGGGCTGATCCAAGGAGATGTAGTTATTGCAGGGGTCATAACTGGGACTGTTTAAAGCAACTGTTATGGATTTAAAGACAAAAAATTGCAGTGCCGTTTTTAAAAGTAGATTGCAATTCGACAAAATCTGATGACTTTTGCAGTGCTCTGTCATGTATTACATCATCATTAACATTAACATATAAACATTGTTTACTGAAGCTGCAACGTAATGCATGTAATGAAAAATATATGAGAAACACTGTACCGACTGAGTAGGTGGGCAATGGAATTGACACATCTGGCCGTACAAGTTTGTAGACATAGTAATGTCCTGGACAGGCTTTCACTTGGATTGGATTGGATCTGTAGTAATTGCACTGGTAACTGTAGTACCCATAGCTATAGGGTGCATTGATTTCTCGGGTCACAATTCCATCCTTCACAAGAGGATGTGACCCTCCAAGCAACAGTGGGGTGTAACCACCAGATGTCATGTAGCTCACACACCACTCAGGAATCTGTGCATTTTCTCCCTGAAGATAAAGCCGATACCAGCCGTTCCATTCTATAGTGGTGTCATCATGGCTACTGTAGTAGCTGGAGTAACCGTAAGTATAGTAGCCATAACCATAGTAACTGTATGTGGTTCTCCAGATGTCTTCAAGAACAGTGTAGTTGTAACAAGGGTCAACAGAGGAGATAGCTGGAGTAGTTGCTGTGGAAATAGTTGCAATAAAGATAATTTATTTCTTAATTTCTGCTATATAGCTGCAAAACAATGCAGTGTCCAAAATTTATGCAAGATATATACTTTGGGGAAGTAAAAAGTATATGTAGCAGGAGAGGAGACATGATTTAGTGATTTATTCTGTGATTTTCTATAAATTTCACTACAGTATGTTTTGGTCTCTGCTAACTCATTTGCAGAACACTCATTATTTATAGAAATGTGCTAAATCATCAGCTGTCATCAGGCATAAAATATGCATTTATAATTTAAAGGAAAATATGTAATACTCTTTCAATTCAACCATTTGCATTTCCCTCATGCATGTGATTTCCATTTTCATTGGGTGTTGTTCAAAGCAGTTTAACAGTTTAATATAACCTTTATGAAAACTGCTGTACTGTTGTCACCTGAACAGAATAGAATGGCATTAAAAGCCTCTGTACCTTAATGCTGCCATTTACAATTGCACCTTTCAATGCTTGTAGTTCACTCCAGTCTAAATGATTCATTTAACTATTTGCTATATTAAACTATCAAAATGAAAAACAAATATTTATTTATATAAATATTTAATCTGATCAATAAATCTATTGATGACATAATGAGAATATTTTACAAATTCTTCAATGACAAAGTGTTATTCTACATTTAACAGCCAAAGGGGGCCCAAACATTTTGTAAATGGGACTTATCCTTGTCATCTAGTACGTGGACTTACTTGTGGTAAAGTTAGATTCTGTACCAATAAGTGCTGTTGGAGCAGCAGTCAGGTCCAATGTACTAGGATCTGTAGAAGCAAAATTTTTAACAAACATTATGGGTTAACATTTTTGTTCAGGAAAGTTAAAAAAAAAAAGACAGAAGTAAAATGAACAGAGTACCTGTGCAATAGGCTGCAGTGCAGTAGTTTGGCCTGACAAACTCATAGACATAGTAGTTTCCTGGGCATGCTTTCAGTCTAATTTGGGTGGAACTGAAGTAACAGCAGTAATATCCTATATTTCCACAGACCTGGCGAGTGACCACTCCATCCCCTATCTGAGGATGAGGGCCATTGAGCCACATAGTGTAATAAGTACCACATCTGTATACAGGAGTACAGCTCTCTGCCATACGGATGTTCATCCCGTTATAGAACAGCCGGTACCAGCCGTTCCAGTTGAAGTAAGCATCACAAATGCCTGATCCAGCTGCATTAATAGATCTCCAGGGTTGGTCCAGAGAAGTGTAGTTGTTGCAAGGGTCATCATCAGAAACAGTAAAGATAACTGTAAAAAAATAAAATAAATAATAAATAAAATAATTAGAAAATCTTACATTTCAAATGCCTTATTTGCACATTATATAAGATGCATAGATGCATCACTGATCTGTCCTCAGCAGAGCATACCCAGCACTGCTTTTTGTCCCTCTTGTTGTGACCTTTTGTACCTCTTTCTTATCGACTTTAATTAAAGGGGATCCATTAAGCTTTTCAGTTTTTTCCCTTTCCTTTATTGTGGTGTGTAGCTTTTTGTGCGAGTAAACAGTTTACAAAGTCACCCAGCCTAAAGTAACTCTCTCCCACAGAAACCACCGTCAGCTGCCTGCAATGCCTTGTTGGAATTCCAGCCCTGTACCTTTGTTACAAGATGACACAATCTCACAACACAGTCCTTATTGCCCACTCACTGACAAGCTTGGTACGCCCTCACATAACTCTCAGGATCGGATTCTGGCTCTACTATTGTAAAAATAGCCACAGCTGTGTAGGAGCGGAACTTGTAGCTCTGGCAGTTGACTAATCAGAACAGAGTGGGTAAGCTGACCAATCAAAGCAGACTGGGTGGGGCTTAAATACACAAGAGCTCTAACAAAGCATTTCAGACAGGGAATGAATAGAGATGTACAGTATGATTAAATGTGTTTTTGGTAAAATGAACAACTATGAACATAAAAAAACTTTAAATCCCACTCTAACAGATTTTCAGCAGCCTTAAACCTGCTCATAATCTTGTCTTGTTACCATTCTTGCCATAGTCTTGCTTTGCTTTGTTTTAGGATTCTTTCTTTGTTTGCTAGTCATTCTTATTGTGTTTCTATTTGTTGCTTAAAATTAGCATAATGCATTCCTATTGTAATCATTGGTATTAATCTTTACATTGGCATTAGCATCTGCTTATGCATGTTGTGCTGGGCCTTCAGTTGATCATTTTTTTATTTTTAGTTGCTCTGTAGCTGTTATCATTTGTTAGCCTAGCTTCACTCTGAGTGCTTTTTGAACAAGGCACAGTACAGGGAAACCAGAATAGAAAAAAAGAAGGGATAAAGAGAGGCCTTTTAGCCCACCTTCTGCAGTGGTCTCTCTTATGTCTGTAGTGTCGGCCTGAGGAGTCGTGACAAAGTCTGTAGAGAGGATTTTTACACAGAAAATGTAATGCAAATTTTTGAGATTATTTCTTTTCAGAATGCATGCAATCTAAAACCTTGTTTTACAGTATGAAGCTTTCTAGGTCACAGTTCATCCCTCTGGAGAGACTCTACATGGACTCTCCTGTCTGGGATTGGCTCTAGTCAGCTTTAGCACTGCTCTGGCCCCACCTTCTCATAACCACATTCACATGCAGCCTATTCCTGGACTCATTAGCCCCCACATATATACACTTCTGTTTGCTTCTGGTCCACTCCATTCTAGGAGTATGGGAGGCAAATCCAGCCAAAAAAGAAAATAATATTAAAACCATAAAATGAAAATGCAAACCTCTTTTTGCCATTTCTTTCTGCGCAAATATCCTGCCAAAATTGAAAATGAAATGAAATGCCTACATTTGCAATTTCATTTTTCACATGAGCACGGGCCATTTGTGACAAACATAAAAATAAATGCAAAACAGCTGTTTGTCATTTCATTTTAGTCATTATTCTGTTTTTTCATGGCCAAATCTAAAATGAATAAGCTAATAGAGAAAAGAAAATCCAAGCTTCACTTTGGCTTTGGTGTTTCTTCATGAAATGCACAATACGAGTCAAAACTGAAATCAAAACCTAAACAACCTGGAATCTGCCAGAAATTAACTGAATACCATTCACCAAACGTGTGGTCTCATCTTCAGAGTCTGACCAAATCGGACTGAGCCATAAAACTGCCGCAATAAAAAAAACAGAAAAGTTTGCTCAGTGGTAATGACAGTTTCGGAACTGCCGGCTATGCAGTGAGTGCTGCTTGTTAAGGAACTATAATTTGGTGGAATCAGTTTCCAAAACAGTCATATGGATGTGTGTCAAAGGAAGCTTCGGACGTCATTGATCATGTGTGTTTTAGTTAACATGAACCAAATCAAATCAAATCAAATCAAATCAGATTTATTGTCACATCACAAGAGTACAGGGACACAGGTGAGTGAAAAACTTGAGTGCGAGTTCCACAAATTATGCAGAGAACAGTATTTACACATAGATAAACAAAACTATAGATAGGATAGAAGAATAGATAAAACCAATTTAACTAAAATATATACATATAATCTTACACAATAACTTAAAAATAATAATATTGCACCGAGACATATAATATTGCACTGGGAATGTAGAGTGAGTGTAATCAACTATATACTATATATAGTAATGGATATTACAATGCTATGTAGATGTGCAAATAATCACACTAGGTGTGGAGGTAGAAGATGGTACAGTAGGTGGCAGAGTATTTAGTAAAGTGCAAGGTACAGGAAGTTAAGTGGAAGCGCAGGGGGAGAGTATTGTCTTTGGATAGGTATTCAAAGTCCAGCTATGCAAGTAAAGTGCAGGAGTACAGTGGGTGCACGTACGTGTAATGGGAAGGGTTGGGCTGGGCAGAGCAGTGATTACTGGCTGTTCAATAGCCAAGCATTGGTTCAAAGTGAACTGAACTGTTTTTTTGACACAGTACATGTTTCACTAGTTATTGTATTCTGCCTCTGATGTTCCTGTCTTCTGTTACATGTGTTTGATTTGTGGATTCTGAGTGGGTGGATTTGCAATAATGAAGCCACTCTGCACAAGCAGCCTGCTTCAATCCATTTGTTACATAAGGTTTTTAATCTGGCCTCTTAGAGTTGTATGCAAAAAGTTTTGCACCCTAGTCAAAATACATATTTTCTTCATTTACTAAGTAAAAAAAAATAGTCAACACATTCTCTAGACAGAGTACAAATCTTATATCCAGATATGGATCCTGGTCTCATGAACCGCCTAACCACACTCCTACAATAACACAAAAATAAGGTAAAAACACTTTTTGCATGTTTTGGTGTTAGGGGGGTTTCAATTATTTTATACACAGTGGCAATGTATGGGCAGTAATTTAGTCATTGCATTGGTTCATCTAATTTTTACATTTGCAGTGGATTGTCCCTATTCTTTGAGCTACATCTGGCTTTGGGGTCCCTTGAGACCCCTGACAGTCAGAGGTGCCTGAGCGCTGGCCCCACTGGCCCAGGCAGCAGTCTGTCCCTATTTATATTAATCTTAAAGGCTCTGTAACAAAAACAGCCTGTTTCATTTTAAGGGATAAAGAGAGATTGGAAAACAGTCATGAAAAAAATGTTGACCATTTTATTTACATAAAACAGGTATAAATACGGTATAAGTGGGTAGAAAATATAGAATATGGTTATTTTTATGTCTTTTTTAACTGTAACTGTGCAATGGTGTTCTAACGTTGCACAAAATTCTTTGCACAAAAAATGCTTTTGGCCTACCTTCTGCAGTGGTCTCTTCTATGGGTGTAGTGTCAGCCTGAGCAGTCATGATAAAGTCTGCAAAGAGGAATTTTATGCAGAAAATATAATACAGATATTTGAGAATATTTCAACACAGAATGCATGTAACCTGAAACAATCTTAATGTGGCCTCTTAGAGTCATATGCAAATGTTTTTGCACCCCTTTGGGGATAAAATGTGGCACATGCAAAATTTCTGGCATGGTAGTGTTGGCAGTGAAGAGGAGCCAGAGGTGGCCATTAAACAACAGCAGAAGGTTTACTGGCAGAAAAAGCCACTAAACAACAGCTGGAATAGGGGGCAAGGTCACTTCCAGCCATACCACTTCTCTCTGTGGTGAACACTAAACTCACACTAAATGACCAATGGCATAGCACGATAAAAGACAGCCAACACATTCACACATCTTAGCAACCAATCAAATGTCCTTTCAATGAGGAGTGGGAGGCACACATATCTTTGTAATACCACATCCCCAAAGCCCCTTCTAAAATGCAGATTGAGTGTTTATATATATATATATACACAAACTAATTGGCCATTACAGTACACATTCTTTGTCCATTTTATCAGGTTCACTTACCATATAAGAGCAGCATTCTCAGCACTGCAATGACACTGGGGTGGGGGCGTGTTAATGTGTGTTGTGCTGGTACGAGTGGATCAGACACAGCAGTGCTGCTGGAGTTTTTAAACACTGTGTCCACTCACTGTCCACTCTATTAGACACTCCTACCTTGTCAGTCCACCTTGTAGATGTAAAGTCAGAGACGATAGCTCATTTGCCGCTGCACAGTTTGTGTTGGTCATCCTCTAGTCCTTCATCAGTGGTCACAGGACGCTGCCCACAGGACGCTGTTGGCTGGATGTGTTTGGTTGGTGGACAATTCTCAGTCCAAAAGGACACTGAGGTGTTTAAAAACTCCAGCAGCACTGCTGTGCCTGATCCACTCATACCAGCGCAACACATACTAACACACCACCACCATGTCAATGTCACTGCAGTGCTGGGAATGATCTACCACCCAAATAGTACCTGCTCTGTGGAGGTCCCGTTGGGGACCTGACCATCGACGAACAGATTACAGTCTGTATTTGTAGAACTACAAAATGCTCCTTTATGGTAAGTGAAGCTCATAAAAATGGACAAAGAGTGTAGAAACAAGGAGGCATATTGATGAAGTGGCTGAAATGTACAATGTCATTAATTTACTTTTATTTTTTTTTTACTAACGAGGCTTCCAAATACTAAATAAAGGAAAAAGTAATGAAAAAGAAAACGAAACTTTTAGAAGTATTTGTAGTGACTGGTGTGTGTGGTGCATTTTTGAACGGAAACAGTCGGTTCAGAAAAAGACTCACTTTTGAAATGCTTGAAACATTGCATGCTGGTGACACCTACTGGCCAAATCCTTGGAAATATAATTACTAATGGTGAGGAGGTACCCCATTATGTCATGTTTGAACCACTGTTAATGTACTTGCACTTGAACAAAGAGCAAACAAAAGGAAAAAAAATCTATAGCATCCATATCTTTTCTCATAAAACACATATTAAAAGCCCCTCATTATGTGTCTACCATCTGTTGCCACGTACTTTGTTTAATATAATAGCACCATCTAGTGGCCATCATAGCAACAGTTACCTAGATCACAGCAACGTTCGGTTATGATTGGCCTAAATGGAAAAAGGAGGCACTAACCCTAATGCTAAGTGTCAAAGTCAGTTGTTGAATTAAATATTTGTATTTGTAAGGAACACAGGCTTTGAAAGTTGTGCTGGGATGGCATGTTGCTGAAATAATTATTAAAGATCAATGGAATCTAAATCCATGACTTTTATAGATCCAGTAATACTTAATAATGACTTTCTTTAATAAACCATTAACTGAGCATTAATAACTCATTAGTTCATCAGAATTTGAAAAGGTACAGATATTTATAAATAACACAATGAAGAAAAACTCCCAGACTAAACAAAATGCAAAACTATACACAATGTAGTTGTTGATGTGTGCTTTCCTATTTATAGTGCTGTTCATGATATTTTCCATTATACCTACAACATGCTACTTTGCTAATAAATAATGAGTTGTGCTACATCAGTTCATGTAAAAACAAATCATTGCAGCAAAGTACTGAGATGTATAACTTATACACATCTGTTAACAGGAGTTATTAATTCACACACATTTTCTGTTATTAAGCCAGAAGATATTTTACCATTATATATACATCCTGGGTAAAACATAAAGCTTATGTCACTATTAAAAATTTACACATCTCAATACTTGATGCTGTGATGATTTGAGTACATGAAAGAATTGTACAACTTAGTTGTTATTATTGGAGGCATTTGCTGTATGTTTCCAGGAAAATCCCATGCAAATAATTATAAATATGACATTGTTTTAACCTCTTAAAGGGCCAGGCCCTGCCAGCAGCCCCAAAGTTTTATTACACCGTTCTATAACTTAAGAACAGCTCAGCCAGTTTGCACTGAAGTTCCTGTAGTTACTGAATAATAAGCCTTTGTATGTAATAAGCCTGGTTTAAGTGGTTAATTCTGCATCTCAGTTACATAAACAATATAAAATTTGGTCTTTATTCTGGAACTTACTCCATCACACAGTCCAATCAGACATCTGCATATTAGAATTTTAAGCCACACTCAGACAGCTCTCGATCAGCAAGTTCAGGTTTTAAGTAGTGCTTTATCATATTTTTATTTTTCTTTAATTTTCTTTTGTCATATTTTTAATAGAACAGTCAAGTTTAATAAAATATAAACCATTTCAATTATGATTTATTCCATAGGACTTTCTGTACATAAATAATTAGTATTTTGCATTTCATTTAACTTGTGTATAAAAAAGTAAAAATAAACAAATAAATAAAAATAAAGGGGAAAAGGAAAAAGAAAACAAGAAAAAAAGGAATGCAGCAACACAACATAGTGATGAGATCAAGTTCAGATTCAGACACATTCAGCCTTAAGTGGATGAATGACTTGAACATTTCCAGAATGCTGTCTTACATTTACGATAAGATAATGGCTGATTGTATGACTTGCTGGAATAAGGAGGCACCACTGGTATTTTTCAAAATGAAAGCTGTCTGGCTGAGAAGACTGACAGAATATTGATAATGCACTGAAGAAATTCTTTAGGTTTATTTGATTCAAATGTGCACACTGGCTACACATAAATGAAATATGTTATAGCAACATAATAACTGTGTTACAACTTAATAAACTGACCAAATTTAAGTTTTGATTTAAGTGTGGTTAAATATATTAAATGCGTTTTAAAATTCAATGATTACATTGCTAGTTATTGGTGCAGAGTCTTGCTATCTAGTGAGGCAAGAATGTACAATTGGTACCATCTCTACATTTGTTGATTTTGAAATACATTTAGAATTACAATATAATTGCATACAACTTCTTCTCTTTGCTTTGAAGATGAACTTTAAAATTGCACTGTATATACAGTTTTATTAATATATGGGCATGTCAAGTTGTTTTTTTTTTTTCTGTATGCAAAATTTGTGGTCCCTGGCAAACAAGTTATGCACTAAACTCAAACTCTGCTTCTTAACAGTTGTATAATGACTAACAAGCAATTAATAATGTCCTGAGGAACAGAAATATATTATTTGTAAACATTTACTAAGCAGTTAAAGTGGTTATTAAGAATAAATATATTCCACATGTTTCATATGTTCCAGTTTTGGTCTTGCAAATTTATTAATAAAGATCTTTTAAATGCATTTACAATTTGCACACAGGTTTTGAGTAATGTGTAAACTTTTAAAAGCTGCTCTTTTGACTTGCTTTAAGTTCTCCATTATACTAAACCTCAGAACCTCAGAAACCTCAGAATCAGATTTATTGGCCAAGTGTGTTGACACACATGGAGAATTTGACATGCGGGTAGGCTGATTGTACACGCTAAATTGACCCAGTCTGTTGGGAGAACGGAGCACTTTTGGGGGGCAGGCGTAGGCTGGAGGTTAGGGAACCAGCCTTGTGACCGGAAGGTCCCCTTCGCCGACTTAGTACGTGACTGTGCCCTTGAGCAAGGCACCTAACCCCAACTGCTCCCCAGGTGCCTGGATAGGGCTGCCCACCGCTCCGGGCAAGTTTGCTCACTGCCCCCTAATGTGTCACTAGTGTGCATGTATTCACTGCACGGATTGGTTAAATACAGAGGTCTAATTCCTCTGTGTGCAAACACAGTTGGCTAATGGTTCTGAATTCAATTCAATGTAGGGACAAGCAATTTACATAAATGTGTGTGGTAGTGCAAGCAACAGTGGGAATGAAATTGTGGTGCACAATGGTATGAATCTGAAGCAGGGTGTTATAACTAGAGAGTGGAGAAGAAAACACAGTGGCCTCACAGACAATATTACTGGTCAGCTATTTATGAGTGTGATGGCCTGAGGAAAGAAACTGCTCCTATGTCTGGTAGCCTTAGTGTACAGGGATCTGTAGCACTTGTCAAAAGGGAGGAAAGATTGTGTCCCAGGTGCAAGGAATCTGTAATGATTTTCCTTGCCCATTTCCTGGATCTTGAAGAGGACTGTCCTGGAGGGTGGGCAGGGGAGCACCAATGATTTTTTCAGCTGACTTTACTGTTCATCATTGTCTCCCTGGCAAACCCCCTATCCTGTTTTGTGGCTGCTCCAAACTAGACCATGATGGATGTGCACAGGACAGATTTGATACTGCGGTGTAGAACTGGCTCAACAGATCCTGGGCCAGATCATCTACTGGGCCTTTTTGAAGATAGAGTTGATGTTGGTCTCCCACTTCAGGTCTTGAGAAATGGTATTTCCCAAAAATTTCAAGGTCTCCACGGTTGACACAGGACTGTTGGATATGGTGAGAGGGAGCAGTGCTGAGGTGTGTCTTCTAAAGTCCACAGGAATCTCCACAGTCTTGAACATGTTCAGCTCCAAGAAGTTCAAGCAAACTTCAGGAGTTTAACAAATAGGTCCTTACAGATTAAGTCACTGGTGTAAAGCAGGC